TTTCAAAACTAGATCTTCGAAGCGGCTATCACCAAATCCGTATCCGGCCCGGAGATGAATGGAAGACGGCATTTAAAACTCGGGATGGATTATTTGAGTGGCGGGTCATGCCATTCGGACTGTGCAATGCTCCGGCGACGTTCATGCGGCTCATGAATGAGATACTCAGGCCCGCTTTGGGGAGGTATTGTGTCGTTTATTTTGATGACATCCTTGTCTTTAGTCGCTCACTAGAAGATCACTGCACTCACCTCTCTCAAATTCTTGACATTTTGCGAGAACATAAATTGTATCTTAATCTAACTAAGTGTGAGTTCGCCAAGAGCACTGTCCATTTCTTGGGCTTCATCATCTCCAGCCAAGGCGTACATGTGGATCCTCAAAAGATTCGTGCTATCACTGATTGGCCAACTCCACGTTCCGTGACCGAGGTTCGCAGTTTCATCGGCCTCGCCAATTTCTACCGTCGCTTCATCCGCGGGTTTAGCATCATAGCTGCACCACTTACTGAATGCCTCAAAAACAAATCACTGCAATGGACGATGGATCATGAGCGGAGTTTCAATACCCTTAAAACGGCACTAACGACAGCCCCTGTATTGGCTATGCCTGACTTCAACAAGCCGTTCCATGTCGACACCGACGCTTCATCTATAGGCGTGGGTGCAGTGCTCGCACAGGATGATAAACCTCTGGAATTTTTCAGTGAGAAGCTCAGCCCAGCTCGTCAGAATTGGTCGGCATATGAACAGGAATTCTACGCCGTCGTCCGGGCCCTGAAGCAATGGGAACATTACCTGTTACACCAGGATTTCGTTCTATGCAGTGACAATCACGCCCTTCAATTCATTAATAGTCAAAAGACTATGAATAAAATGCATGCGAGATGGCTGACATTCCTCCAACGCTTCAGCTTTGTACTCAAGCACAAATCCGGAACTCAAAATCGGGTAGCCGACGCTCTTAGCCGCCGCACTGCACTGATCACTCAATTACAAGTTGACACGCCTGGACTAGAGGCTCTGCAGGAGTTATATGAGTCAGATAGTGATTTCTCTGCTGCCTGGAACAGCTTGATGAGCAACCCGCCGATACCGTTCACTGACTTCTCCATTCGGCACAACTTCTTATTCAAAGGGAACCAACTCTGTGTTCCAGCATCCTCATGGCGGGAACATTTAACCAAAGAATTGCACAGTGGGGGCCTGGCGGCACATCTCGGCCGAACAAAAACACTGGAACAGATGCAGAGCAGATTTTACTGGCCGCACCTCCGTCGGGATGTTACACGATTTGTGGAGCGGTGTCCTATATGTCAATTGTATAAAGGAAATGCCCAGAATACTGGATTTTACACGCCGCTGCCCGTCCCAAATTCAATTTGGGAGGATATCAGTATGGATTTCGTGTTGGGCTTGCCGAAAACCAAACGAGGAGCTGATTCAATTATGGTAGTTGTCGACCGCTTCTCTAAAATGGCTCACTTTATCGCTTGTAAGAAGACCTTCGACGCCCTCAACGTCGCCATCCTCTTCTTCAAGGAAATTGTCCGTCTCCATGGAGTACCGCGCAGCATTACATCGGACCGTGATGTAAAGTTCGTCAGTCACTTCTGGCGAGAATTATGGAAAAGGCTCCGGACTGAAATCAAGCTGAGCTCCGCATATCACCCTCAGACGGATGGGCAAACTGAGGTTGTGAACCGCACATTAGGTAACATGCTGCGTTGCCTATCTCATGAACACCCAAAGCAATGGGATGACTACCTTGGCCAAGCCGAATTTGCGTATAATGCCATGTCTAACCGATCCACCGGACAATGTCCGTTCAGCATAGTCTATACGAAGTGCCCAAATCATGTGGTGGATATAGCAGTGTTACCACACTGCAAGAGCAAGGCAGCAACCCACACTACCGAGACTTATACAAAATTGTTACAAGACATAAGAAACAAGCTCGAAACTGCCAATCAGACTTACAAGCAACATGCTGATCTCAGCCGGCGTGAAAAGATATTCCATCCTGGCGATCTCGTGATGGTTCGCCTTCGCAAGGAAAGGTTTACACCCGGAACCTATTCGAAGCTCAGTCCCAGGAAATTAGGACCAGTTCCCATTGTGCGGCGAATCAACGACAATGCATATGTCGTGGACCTCCCACCCACAGTCCTTACACCATCGACGTTCAATGTATCTGACATTTTTGCTTATAAACCACCGGACGCAGGTATCATTCAAGCTCTTTCCTCAGGTGAGGAATCTTCCACGGCGGGGGAGAACTGATGTGGCGTATCATAGTACCAGAACATTCCGGTGATATCATTACCTTGCTTATGTTTCCACTACCTTTTTGCAGCTTTAGTTAGTTATTGCCTCTCTGCCAATTAGTGGCCAGCTCAGCATTTAGTTCCCCTTTTAATATTTTCTTTATTCGAATCAGCTTATGTAAGGCCTGGAGTTAGCCGGGTTCAGTAGAACTTTTGAATACAGCTACAGTGAAATTACCCTCACTTCCTCTTATTCTTCTCCTTCTTCTTTCTTCTGCTTGCTCTGCTTCTCTTCCCTTTCCTCTGTTTTGCAGGTTAATCCGGTTTTCACACCAATATATCATCCTATCTACTTGTAATATTGTTCCAATCAAATACGACCAAAAGGTCACAAGGGAGATCAATATTCTTTAATGATGCTCACATAATTACTGGAACATCTCCAATAACTGAAGAAGACATTAATCTAGAAAGTATTAGACATTGCATAATCCATCGTATTTGTCTATGCATTTATGTATGTTTAACTAACTATATCTTAAGCATTCAAACTATTTGAACAATTAATTGATTTTTAATTTGGATAGAGCTCGAATCTAAATTAACGAGCGAAACCAGACTCATCGAGGTCAAATTGGAGTGGTTTGAGTTGTGATCTATTTGAGTAGGGATCAAAGCAACCCTAACATTCTCTCCTAGAGAGAACAGGGTGAACTTTCATGGTTTTGATCAACATTATTGCTGTAATTAAAACAATAGACTGCCTATTTTCAAATTCAGTTATCAGATTTATCTTATCAAGTTTACAATTTTTGTTTAAATTATTTATTTAGTTGACAGCTTATATTTTCATTTTCATAACTAAATTTGTCATTATTTTTATCTCAGGGCCAAGGAATAGTTTAATGCTGCTGCAAATCCAGCCACTCCCTGATGGAAGAGGGGAATCCTTTGAATTTTGATCAAATATAAGGCTTCGTTTGGGACTGCTTTTTCACTGCTTTTTAAGACAAATTTTTAGTACAAAATTAATTTTTTTTTATTGAAAAATTGCTTTAACCAGCAGAAAGAAAGCCGTTCTAAACGAAGCCTTTGTTAGAATATAGTTCTCAAAAGCAATTGACTTTAAGATGAGTATAATATATGTGAGAAATGAATTAAAATTTATAAAAATAAATTTAACAATTTTGAGAGGAATTCTAATAAAATATTTGATGATAATTATCTTTATTTTGTCAGCCCAAAATAATAATAATAATATTATGAAATGTAGGAAAAACACCTGATGCCTTGAAAATGACCCTTGCTTATGAAGGGATAAATTTCTTTTAAGCTATGTTGGGATTTTTGGAATAAAGGTTTTGTTTGGGACAATTTTCAGTCATTATTTTTTTGCTATTGGTAAGAAATTTTTATACTAAAAAAGTATTTCGAATATATATTTAATTTTTTATATCTTTTAAAAAATTCATTGAATCAAATATAAAAATACACTTATTTCAACTAAAGTATTTGGAAATTTTTATTTATTTTTATTAAAGTTATAATTGAAATAGGGATTTTTGTTTTTATCGCCTTATTAATAATATTGAATTTAGAGAGAGTTTAAAGTAAATAAGTTGGAAAAGTTGTTCAACTTGATAATATTTTAATTGATGTGTGAAAATGTTTAGAATAAATTTTTTAATATTATGTTCAAGGCTTAGAAGATGTCAAATACGTGAAGAATGAGTGTGTTGATTCTTATTTTTGGTCAAACAAAACTAAAATTTTTAATTTGGAGCAAGCAAACCTTAGCTCAAACATAGATCCATATCAACATTTTTATTGAAATGAAAATAATTTTTCCCTTACAATGTTTTTAATTATCCAATGCTATAGATGAAATTACTTTCTTCTATGAATATAAGTATAATTTAAATAAATTAATATATATTACACGCAATTTTAAATGAAAAATATATTTTTTCATTCCGATTATGTAAAATAATTGGGATATTATACTTAGAAACAAAAGAGTCTTATTATTAAAAATTTTTAGAAGAAACATTCACTCCCTACTAATATAAACATATACATACAAAGAATTCTTCAAAATGAATGAAGTTTTATAAGATAGACTTACATTGAGATGATTTTTTTATTGTTTTTTAAAATAATTTATTATATAAAATTTTTATTTTTATATTAAAAAATTAGTAAAAAAAAAAAAAAGTAAAAAACCTTCATCTCCATATTAGCCCACTAAAAATCCTTTTTCTTGTAAACTAAGTACAAACACCAGCACTCCAATCCTCTCTAGACATACAATCATCCAACAAGGCCATTCAACCACCACCAACATCATCATCATCATCATCACCACCATCTACGACTCATCCCCATTCCAGCTAGCCTTCTCCTTCGGCCCCGTCGGCCCTTCCTCCCCCAACACCTCCTTCGGCAAACTGCTCACCAAATCCCCCAGCGCTTTCTTCATCTCCCCCGGCAGAAATCTCATCACCTTCTCCAACTCCTTATCCACATCATAGCTCACCTTCGGCCCCCACTCCCTCATATACTGCAACCACGCCGGCTCCTCCACCCCCAAATACTCCGCTGATACGATCACGTTGTTCGCCCCCGCGTCCATCACCGCGCCCCCTTCCGCCGTCTCATCCATTATCCCAATCCCGTTCTCCATTTCCCCCAACAACACCAGCCCTGCCTTCGGGTAAAACGCGTGCCCGTGCAGCGTCGGATACGCCGCTGGTCGCCTACTCCCAACAGGCGTATATTCTAGCTCCTTTGGGTCCACCCATTTTCCGGAGCTGTGCTCGGAGAAGTACATCTGCTTCATCTCGCCGTCGAAGTTGCTGAATCTCTGAGTCACGTGCTCCCAATCCCCGACGTGCTCCCCGATTCGCCCTAGGGCGATGTCGAAGAACTCCACCTTGGCCCTCGCCGGGCCGTTGAAAGGGTAGAAGAGCCAAAAAACGATGTCGGTGGCTGTGCCGCCGAGCGTCGGCTTGATGTGGATATAGGCATCGGCGGAGGGAAGGCTTCCCGCCTTGACGGTATTCTGCGAAGCAGCGTCGGTAGGAAGGTCGAGCCAGTAGGCGCCGTCGTTGGTGCCACCCTGGGGGAGGTTGGTGCCGGGAGGGTCGATGCGGGCCGGCCTGTTAGGGCTGCTGTTCGTGTAAAGCAGCGCGCCGTTGTTGAAGAACCAGGAGACGGAAGAGGGTAGGTAGGGCTCTTTCGGGTGGAAATGGATCCAGGGAGAGTAAGTTTTGATCAGGGCGGTAATTTGGGTGAGATTCGGCATTGCAGCAACGGTCAATAAGCTCTTATTTATGCAAATTAAAGGAGGTTTTTCGCCTGCGACGATGGTGCCGAAGGAGTCTGAGAGGTGGACGGTGAAAGGGGAATCGGATTTGGCAGACCAGATTGGGGCTTCGGGGTCGCATGACTCGAGGAGGTCACTGCGGAGGCAGCGGATGGAGGAGAGAGGGGGTTTTTGTGGGGAGGAGGTGACGAGGTGGCCAGCGGCGGCGTAGCCGGGAGGAGGGATGGGTTGCCAGAAGAAGGCGGGGGAAGGCGAGGTGGAATTGGTTGAGAAGAGGAAGGTAAAGTCGGTGGGGGAGGCGAGAGAGGCGCAGGTGTCGCGTGCGATGAGTGCGCGGGGGGGTGAGGAATTGGACGTGTGGGCTTGGGCGTGGGAGCCGAGGGCGAAGAAACCGGAGGGAAGCGAAGAAGGGGAGAAGAAGGTGGCGCCGGAGTCGCCGGCGCTTAGCGGGGCGGCGGTTACAATCTCGGTGAATGTGGAGTGCTCGCGAAGCTCGACGCCGGCAACTTCTATGCTTCCCTTTGCGAATTGGCCGCCTGCGAGAAAGGCTTTTTTTATCAGGTATGGCGATTAAAATTTAAGTTTTTTTACTTCCATATCACAAAATATTTTTATATTTATATTTCTAACACCTAAAATTTTATATTTATTTATATACCATTTTAGTTTTTAAACCATGTAAAGATATGTTTTATTTTAAATAAAATTAATATTAATGATATTTTTAATATAATTTAAAATTTTAGTTTATATTAATAATTATTAATGTTTAAGTATTAGATGTATAAATATTTTATAATACGCATAAATTCTCCTTAAAAAATTGTGAGCCGCTTAATTAACAAAATATTTATAACAGGTTTTTATGCAATTTGTCAAATGTTGTAAGACATTGGTTGGTCAAAATATGACTTTGTAAATGAAGTTAGATTACCTAATTTGTACAGCTTTTATATATAAATATATGTAAAGTAGTGCATTAAGATTCGGTCGATTTGACCGATTTAGTGCATTAAGATTGATAAAAATATGGTATAATAGAACTAGCCAATTAGGTCAATTTTTTACGTTAAGAAGCAATTAGAGTTTAGTGTTTAGCCCTTAATTTAGATTTTTTTTTTATCGATTTTATGACTGCTTAGGGCATCTCCAACCGAAAACTTCATTTTTCTCGGCAAAGTAACGCAAAACTCCAAAATGGCGCGGTGATGCTCCAATCGAACGCCATTTTAGGTGTTTTTGAGAAGGTAACGATCGCCCTTCCCTTCGCGCGTTTTTCCGGTTGAGAGAAAAAAATGGCGTGAGTGAACAGTGCGACGCCAATATTGGCGTCCCACTGTTCATCCGCCATCAAATGCAGTAAAAAATGGCGATCGGTTGGAGCAAAACAAGAACGGCAAACAAGTGTTTGCCGTTCGGTTGGAGATGCCCTTAAATGCTTATTTATTTGGGTGGAAACAATAAATTATTATTTATCTAAATTTATTTCAGAATATGCTTTCAAACAAAAAAAAAAAAAGTTTTTATTTGATTGCTTGTTGGATGGATAAACAGTTATTGAACTTATTATAATAACTTAAAGTTTTGTTTGGGATAAATTTTTTATTTTTTGTGCAATTTTAAGTAAAAAAAAATTCAAATTTAAAAATATTTATACTAAAAAGTTGATTTAAAAAATAACATAAAAGTTGTCCAAATGAAATCTAAGTAGACCTCCTTATTAGGTATATGCTATTTAAAAGTTGATAAAATTAATATAAAAATATCCCCAAATTCATGCGGAGAACGTATTGGATATGACAAATTATTTTGTGCAGAGACGAGAGATCAGATGCAGAACGTCATCAAGAGACCAATCGGAATATGTCACATCAATGGTACCGAGCACAAGTATGATGTGGCGCACGCTGATTGGTCTCCAGACGTCAAACACAAATAATTAATCCTTGGATAGTGATGGTTTCAATAAATTTTTAAAAATTTGCATAAATTTTCAAATAAAAAAAAAATTTGTTGTTATATATGATATACATAAAATATCTTATTGTATACTTTTCTTTTGAATGCAATGTTTTTGAAAAAATGACAACCAGATCATTCATACAAATTTTATTTACATATCGAACCCTTATTTAAAACAGTAGCTAAAAAAATACGGATTAAAATTTCATTCTGCACTTTTAAATTTTGATGATATTCTTATAAACAAAGATAATTTGTTGTTAGTTTTCTAAATATATAAGATTTTGGTATCATAAATATTTGCCCCTTTTTTTCTTAACTATAATGGACTTGCAACAATCGAAGAAAGGACACCATCTATTCCATTATTGCAACTTCAACCCTTACACCTTCATCCGCCAGCTCGCCGCCGACGACCAATCCACCCACTTCTCCGACCGACATCAAGCTCCACCGCCGTGGATATTACATACAAACCATGCATAACAATAACTACCATTGAATTAACTAAGTTCGTAGGAAGGAAACAGACATACCTTGAACGGCGACGGCCTCGCGTTCATGGAAGCAAAGAGAGAAGAAGAAGAAGAAGAAGAAGAGGGGAAGTAAGCTCCAGCAAGAAGCCATTAGCTGCGATACTGATTCAGAGAAAGAGAAACATATATAGAGTTTAAAAGAGAGGTGGAGAAGTCGATATAGCTATCAGCGACTGGCCCGCAATATTTGGAAAAGCATCCCCGTGAAGAAACGGGCTTTTCTGATAAAGACGGTAGCTTCTCCGCCTTGAACGGTACCTTGTTTTCATTTTTTATTTTGTTATTCAGCAATTACTGAGGAAGAGTGTCAATAAAAAATAGATTATTATGCGTCTGAATTTATGGGCAAATTATTAGGTCGGGTTGTAGCACAGAGAGAATTATATGAATTTCTCTTTATCTACAATAAAAATACTGTCAAAACGCAATCTAAGTGCAGCTACTACAGCATAGCTGTGATTGGACTACATTTTGACTGTGCTTTACTATAGATAGAGAGAAATTCGGATATATCTGTATCAGGTGACCGAACCTAATAATTTTCCAAATTTATGAGATACACAATAAATATATAGTAAATACACATAACTGTATATTGACTGTGTGCCATAGCTGGATCCACGAAATGCCCATCCTAAAAAAAAATCATTAGAGAGGATTTTTTTTTAGAATTTTGCCCCTGCCCAAAAGAACTTTCTGTCCTAAATTTATTAATTGTGTGTCAGTTTTGCCCATCCTGTCTCCCGTCGTTCGCAGAATTGCAATAGAAGGCTAGAAGCCATCTCGTTCCGTCGTTCGCACTAGAAAGATCAGGTCAGATCGCCGGCCTTCGCCTTCGCCTTCGCAAATTGCAAGTTTGCCCACCCTAAAAAAATGATTTGGATCCGCCCCTGTGTGTACCCTCATAATCCGACCGATCTGGACTCTGTACGTAATAATTTCTCCAATAAAATGGCAAATTGAAATTATGCAAAATTTGTTTTTAATTTAAAATTGTTTTTAAGTGGATAATGATTAACAACATTTTTTTTAAGACTTTTGAACCAATAAGTCAAAAAATTTTTAGTTGGTACTTAAAACTTCTAACCAATAGATTGATGAGCTGCATTAATGATTGACAGCATGAGAGAGGGTTTTTGTTAATCTTAATTATGATATTAAATTTATTGGATGAGAGCATCTACAATAGTAAATTATTGTATGGTTCCATAGCTCATTTGATGGGGAAATTATTATTATTACTTTATTAGGATTAGGCGTTATGTATTTTATGTTTGGAGTATCTTAGGAGTATATTATTATATTCTCATTGTATTTTTTAAATTTTAATATTGTGAGATGTGAATTTATTATGAAAAAAATAACGTAAGTATCTTGTAATGTGTTTCTTGTTGGTATGAGCTTTAAATTTGTGAATTTAAAGGGGGAATAGTGCTACTTATTATATCCTTAGTTTTGTTTTTCATTTATTATATAAACAAATAAAATAGATTATAATGTGGGGGTGTTAATAAATGATCCGACTACCAATTTGACTCAGATTTGACTTGAAAAATTCGGGTGGCCTCTCCGCCTCTGAAATAATAGGTCGAGTTCGGGTCATGCATTCCGACCCATTTATTAAATTAGTCATATTTGGCTTGACTCGCCAACTCGATTTTGACTTGAAAAAAATTGGTTTAATATATTTTTTTCAAAATTCTTTTATTTGTTGGTATAATCTTTTCATTTTTTTATCAATTAATCTTAGATTTATATATAACAAGTTAATAAAAAAAATAATTTTATTGCGGACTAGAATATACACGGCGATAGAGTTAGAAAATTTCCGTCTCAGCATTGTATGGATATCTAGCACACAAACAGGAGAGAAATAACACTAGGATTTATATGTGGAAAACCCTGAAAAGGGAAAAAAATCATAGGTTCATGCTGAGTTGAAATAATTCCACTAGTCTTTTTTGAGGTACAAGAGGCTAACTCGTCCTTAAAATTTAGGATGATCATATTACAATGTTTCACTTACGGATTGAAATCAAATTACATCAAGTTGTGTATTCGAGTTGAATTCAGAATCGCTTAGAATTCCGACGTCACTTGAAAATCGGGAAGAGTTCCGGTGGCACTTGAGAGTCGAGCAGAATTCTAGCGTTACTTTGGCGTCGGGCATAATTAGGGCGTCACTTGGGCAGAATTCAGACATCACTCGGGCGTCCGGCAGAATTCCAGTGTCACTCGGGCGTCGGGCAGAACTACGGCGGTGGTCGAGGAGTTATTCCCTCATATCATTCTCTTCCCTTATTCTCTTCTTCTTGCTTCTTCTTGCTTGGGTACCCTCTCATGAGAAATGAGGGGTCTATTTATAGATATTCTGGAGTGCCATGACTTGTAAATAGGTGAGAGATCAGGGGTAAATAGGGAGTGGTCGGATGGACGGCCGATATTGAATTCCTTGATCAGGCATCGTTCATTAGATATTTGAAGGTCTTAATGATGTCGAAATTAAAAGATCTTGGGCTCGTTGAATTCGTCTCGTCGAGCCGCTCGATTCGATTATAAGAACGTCATATTTGAAAACCGTTTGGTAACTCAAATTGTGGTTCGAACTTTTCAATAGCGCTTCGGGTCCTTGATTTGAACTCATTTGGTCTCGGATTGAGTCTAATTTTGTGTCGTTGAGTTTGTATTTCCGAGATGCTCAGTTTGACTGTAAGTTCGCTGAAATTGGAGTTCAAGTGATCCTAGATTTAATTTTTGAAGTTGCTGGCTCGATTTTACTTCGAGATTTGTGCCCTATCAAGATAATTTACTGATGATACATAAATTATTATTATTTTTAATAAAATGAGTTATCAAATCGGATTTGGATTGTTAGCAAGTTTTGTTCAAGTCCAATTTTTTGTCATATTTGTTAAACTTGTTGGATCTGGCTCATCAGATTAGATTTGCATCAAAATTCACCTGTTGATCCATTTTGATACCTCTAAAATATAATTATGGTATGATGTGTATATTTTACATATTGATTACATAGTCATATATTCTTATATTCTACGCATAATGCACATTTAGTAATTTCTCCACTTATTCAGAGTTTGAATACATTTGACTATTAATTTATGAAAATTGTAATAAAATTCGTTAAATATTTGTAAAATAGAAAAAATGAATTATTAATATTTAGTGATTTAAAATTAATTTAAAATTGAATCAATTTGATTAAAGCAAATTTTAATTTTGATTCAATGCAAATGTGCTTTGAACTCTGTGCATTTTTAATATATATATATACTCGTTATTATCAAATAATACATAGCAATATCGAGCAAATACCGAGTTTTTTGGCGGGATTTTGCCTCCGAACGAACCTTCCTCTGTGTCATTACACCGGACCTAATAAAAGTTCCTGACTTGCATGGGCTTGTTGAATTGCTTGGTTGGCTGTGGAAGGCTTAAAATCCTAGCCCAGTTTCGTGACTGGGCCAAGTCCAGCCCTTTTGTTGCATGGTTATCATAAATGTATCAGGATCAATGTTTCTCAGGCAGAAAATTGTTATATTTTCTTCATATATTTTTCCTTTGATATATTATACATATATAATAAGAAAAAATTGATTTTATATACATCATAATACGCATGATAAGTCAAAAATTAAAAATTTATTTTTGACGAAACTAACTCCAATGAGAATAATTTCTTGTATTTAACAAATTTCTTATATATTGAAGTTAAAATCCAATAATGAATCTATTTACAAATTCGGTCAAGCCAAGGTTAGAATCATTGAAAGCTAGGAGAGAGGCATCAATAGGACTTGTAGGGTGTGAAGGAGAAGCGGACTTGTGATGGAGCTCAATGGGGAAGGCATTGACGTGACTTTGAATGTGTGAAGGTGAAATGGAATTCATTATGAATCTTGTTGCGGAAGGCATCAACTATACAAGCAACATATGAAGGAGAAGAGAGTTTGCGATAAACTAAGTTTATTGGAGAAGGTATTGAGAGGATTGATTGTATGTGAAGAAGAAGAAAAGTTTGGGATAGAGCTTGTTACGGACCGAATCGATAGGATCGGCTGCATGCGACTAATCGATAGGATCGACTGCATGTGAAGAAATAGATGGATTTGCGATGATGTTTGTCTAGGTAGCCATTGATGGGACTGAGGCATATGTAGGGCCATACATTGTCGGGATCGATAATGCGTGTGGTGGTAAGCACCAAGATGCCGGGCACAAACTCCTCTTGCCAGACAAATAAATTATTTGAACTAGTTTGAATAAAATTTCTCTTAAAATATGTTATATTTGTGATGAAGAATACATAAAAAGGAGACGTAAGAATATCATATTTTATCATATTTAATTGAGAGTTTTCTAATATATTTTTGCTACAGCGAAAAAATGTATAAAGGTAATTCTCTTTGTCATAAAAAATAACTATAAATCAATATTTACCACACTTTGCATATATATGAGCATATAAGGAGTTCATATTGTGATTACTATAATTTAAATTCAATTAAAGTTTGGTAATTTAACGGTTTGTTTGGGATGGCCGAAGTATTTTATAAAAGGAGGTGTAAAATTGTTTGGGAGAAAATAAAAATTATAAAACCTTTTATAGATATCATCATATTATAAATATATTCTTGTTTTAGTAAAAGAAATTGTTTTTTTTTACAATTACTATAGCAAATCCCAACCTAAAAAAGTAGCTTTGGATACAAACATTTTGAAAATCAGCAAAAAATTTACAAATAACAGTAGCTAAGTTGAAGCATGAATGAGATTTGAAAAATAATGCAATGAGAAAATTGCCCAAACAAAATCTTATGTTTCAGCTTTTTAGTTCAATAATTAAAACTTGTGTACTAAAAAATTGCTTTAAGAAACAGTAAAAAAGTCGTTCCAAACGAAACCTTAATCTGATTTAAGAAACAAAAAAAAGTCATTCCAAACGAAACCTTACAGTGTCTTCGTTGTAGTTATTGAGTCTTTATTAAACTCTGCTCTTTTTTCTTTATTGGGCTTATGACTCATCTGTTCAATGGATTTGCAGAACTAGCCATTGTTAAAAATCTTCCTCTTTTTAACAAATAAAGGGATCTCTTATTCTCTCCAACATGGGCTTATGCTTAATTGGATTCTTAAGATTCCAATTTCTTTTCTGGAATTTGCCGTCTATACTGGCTTGAGATATTATGTGATGGGTTTTGAGCCAAATGTGCAAAGGCATGCTTAAAATTGGTTTTTTTTAACTGACAGAATTGCCACGGTTATAATCGTTGTTTTAGACTTGTAATGCAGTTTAGCAGCAGTTATAACCACTACTAAAGACCCATTTCCAGATTGATAGTGGGTGTTATAACCGTTGCTATATACCCATTGTCTAAATTTGTAGGTGTTAAAATCGCTGTAACATAGCATAAATGTAGCGGTTAAAACCGTTGCTAGAATAAACATAGTTAAAAACTACATCTAAGGCAGCCGTTTAAATAACGCTGCGAAAGCCGTTTGCAGCAATAACAAATACGGTGGATGTGCAACAGTTTTGAAACTGCTGCAAATCAAATAGTAGGTACTTTTATCGATGTTGTAGGGTAGAAAAAATGCTGCGAAAGTCTATTTTAATAATAGTGTTAAATAACAATTATAATTCATTAGGCTACTACTTTTTTATTATTTTCTTTGTGTCTTCAAAATTTTTTTGTAATGAGGAACTGTTTTTAACAACCAAAATTTCTAATATATAGTAGCTTCAATAAAACATCATTTTGATTTTTTTTTTTTAAATATTATATTTATAATGTTCACAATAACTTTAAAAAAGATTATTTTCTACAGAATTATTTCACAATTAGTTTAAAAAATATTATAAACAAACCCCAAATAATAAATATCATGCTGGAAAAAAAAACCACTTAACTTTATTAATGCTAATCGTTATTATAGAGAGAGACTAATTTTAATACCACCTTAATAATAGATATGTTGGAATTCTATTCACCTAATATAAAGATGAAGGTTTCCTTTGGGACAGTTTTAGGATTAATTATTCTGTACGGACGTCAAATGCCGTCTCGAGACCAATCAGAATGCGCCACATCACCCCGTGCTCGGTACTGCTGATGTGGTGTATTCTGGATAGTCTCCGAATAGTGTTCTGCATTCAGTCTCTGCACAGAATAATTTCTCCAGCTTTAAACCATTATTTTTTTCTTACTTTTAAAAATTTTTTTGTACTAAAACTTTACTTTATAAAATAATAAAAAAACCTTCCCATACGAAGCCGAAGCTGATTCTCATTTGAATCGGTTCTTCATTTGCTGAGAGGAGTTTTTTTTTTTTTAATTTTATTATTATTGGACAAGTTGAGGTCAAAGCTCACCTGTATTAAAAGAGTACATTTCTACATCAACGAACAATAAACATAAATACTACCAAAAATGCATATATTTTGCCGACACTTTTATTCACAGATACAAAGTTATTTGCCTTGCCATCATAATCGAAATCTTGGTAGTTAATATTGGCCTTTCATATACTTTGAGATTAGTGCAAGCGCGCTTCTTAAAGCATGTCAAGAATTTTTGACAGGGTCTTGGGTTGCTGAGCATCCAAGCTCACCACCGAGCTTTACTTCCTCCTGCCTGCAAGGTGTTCGACCTATCGTCGACTTGCGTTAGAGTATACGGCAGGAACGAGGCGGTCATGTTCGTGGTGCTCTGCTTAGGCTTCCTTTGGAATGACTTTCTTATTGCTTCTTAAAGCAATCTTTTAGTACAAAAATTAATTTTTTTCTACTAGAAAATTGCTTTAAGAAGCGGTAAAAAAACCGTCCCAAACGAAGCCTTAATTGCGTTCGGTTCCGCTGGCGTCAAGGCGGCGTTGCCGCCGCACTGCGCCGACCAGTTCGACAAGAAAAACCCGAGGGAGGCGAGGCAGATATCGAGCTTCTTCAACTGGCTGCTTCTCAGTCTCTGCCTCGGCGGAGCAATAAGCCTCACCTTCATCGTTTGGATCCAGGATGAAAAGGGCTTTGCTTGGGGCTTCACGGAATGCGCCGTCGCCGTGATATTCGCTCTTTTGGTCTTTGCGTGTGGAATTCCAATATATCGAATTCCGGTCATCAAAAGGATAATGCTTTTCTTGAAATCTTTCAGGTGGGTTTAAACTTCTATTGCTTCTCAATTAAGAATGGGGGTGTAAACGATAGTTAAATTTGTTTAATTTTTATTGGGCTCGAGCTGGTTAAAAAAATTTGAATAATGAAGCTTGTTTGGAAAGCTCGAGCTTAATTTAATTGTTGAGTTTGATTTTTTAATTTTAGATTTTTTAAGATTTTTATTTTTTAATATAGAATTGATTTAAAAAGGTTAAAATGTATTATATAATGTTAATTTAAATTAATTTTAAATATATTTTAAGTTAATCGATTGGCTCAATGAAATTACAAGTTGAGATAGGTTGAGCTTGAGCTTGAGTATAGGCTTGAGCTCGAAGCTATTGATTGATATGTTCGACTTGTGAGCTAGTTAATGAGTTGACCTCTCAAGTCTGCTCGCAAACTAGCTTGGCCTACTTACACCCAAATAAATAGAAAGACTATTAATTATGGTACCTCTTTCAACGGATTTCTCCGCCGGAAATTTCAACGAAATAATAGCTGGCAAGTCGTAGAAATTTATAGTTGCTTACATGGAGTCTCTATAATCATAATTTATGGTGGCAAATCCGTCAGGTTTATCAGTAGTTTGTACCACAAATGAATCCACCTTAAGTTCTGGCGGATTTCATCGTACTTTCAATAGAATCGTGTATCATCTAATTTTGAAGACTTCATTTGTGACAGTTTTCTTACTGCTTCTTAGAATAGTATTTTAATACAAAAAATTTTAATTCAAGATTTTTTTTGTTGAAAGTTATTTTAGAAAGCAATAAGAAAGTTGTTCCGAACAAAATCAACTTCAGAAAAAGCGTTTTTTTTTGTGGGAGACATGCAAGAAACTTTGTTTTTCCTGCTGTAGTGTGCAACTAACTAAAGTTATTTAATCATAGTTCTATAAAAATGTAGCTAAACGGAATATTCAAACAACCAAAAGCCAAGTTTTTGGAAAATTGTGATAATAATAATAATAATATTTTTTAAAAAACTGATGCTGGTTCATGATTCAGGTCTTCGTAGCCGCATTCAGGAATCACAAGCTAAAACAACCTGATGATCCCAACGAGCTCTATGAGATCCAGAGCGAAACAACTCAACCCGTAGGAACTGAATTTCTTCCTCATCGAGATCTATTCAGGTCAAAAAAATCAAATTTTTTAAAAAAATTCAACAATAAATTATTCAACAGATCTCAAAAATCAATTTTTTTTTCAACAGGTCGCTCGACAAAAGCAGCAATCAGAAGAACCAGCAACCAGGGACTGAAACAAATGGAAGCTCTGCCGCGTCACACAAGTGGAGAACGCCAAGATCATCGTCGCCCTGCTCCCCATATTCGGAGGCGCCGAAGGCTCTCAAGTCTTTTGCTTCGTCGTTTCTTTGGTGCTCGCTTTCGTTTGGGTAATTTTTCAGCAAGATATTGGTGAAGGCGGTGAATGGGGCGAGTGGTGGCGGAGGGAAAGGGAGGCACCAACCAATAGAAGAAGAGTTGTGTGTTTGAAACAAATTGATATATGCATTTATATGTTAGATTCAAATCATTTAGAGTCAAAACTGCCAACCAACAAATCAAGTTGAGTTAGAGTAAAACCAAGGGTCCCGGGGGGAATTACAAATTTGTTTATTGCATGTATTTTTATATAATTTGTCATCATCCATCTTTTTTTTACTCTTTATTATAGGAATATTTAGGTGATTACCCCCCCTAAAAAATTAAAATAATATGATCTTTAGGTGATTGCCCCTAGTAGAATTATACATATTGTGAAGAGGTGTTATTGTTAGAGAACAATGAACAAAATACAAAGAGAAATAATAAAGAAAATCTAAAAATATCCTTACAGCCAAAATTTGTTCCGGGGGCGTTGCCCCCGGAAACCCCCTCAGGGGCACTGCCCCTGAAACCCGCAACTTAACCGGGCAGGTCGAACCCCATCAGGGGCACCCCCAACACATTGTGTAGAGGTGTTACCTAATTTTTGTTCAAGAATAATTATCATTATATAAGATGTTGATGATATTTTTAAAATGTATTCAAGTACAAATAATCATTAGTCACTAAAATATTGCGGTCCATATACAGATAGCTTGCGACGTTTCTAACTCTTTTTAAGCTCTCTGTTTCTTTCCCTTTCCCTAAAGCTTGAACTCAATTAATGGACCCTTATCGGATCCTCGTCCTCCTCTCCTTCTTTCTTCGCCTCCATGAAGGTTGGGCCACCGCCGTTCAAGGTGCGTTAATCCCCGTTCTATGAACTTTGTTAATTCGGTAGTTTTAATTTTATATACGGTTGGTATTTCCATGGCGGCATCTAGCGGCCGTGCTAATAGTGGATCTGGGCCGACAGCACGGTGGCGGCTCATCTGTGACAGCCGGAGCTGTGAACGGATTGGTCGCCGGCGGCGTGCCGCAGATTGAAGGGTAGAGGGCTACTGATGCAATAATGGAATAAATGATGCCCTTTCTGCAATTGACCCAACAGTATTACGATTGCCAATGCATAAAAATCCTATTATAAATTCCTTATAAGATTCTATATTATAGACTTCAAGATAATATTTTTGAAATAATATACATATATACCTTCAATATTTCATACACCTGTAATATAAATAATTTTTAAAATATACGAATCTGAAATAGTAATATTAATGTAAAATAATTTACTTATATATTTATTTATTTATTTTTTTTAAAAAAAACATATTTTCCATAAGAAGCATCAATTCTATTAAAATAATAGATAAATATATTTGTTCATTTTTTTTTATAATTTAATGCCGAAATAAGTGGACTTAACAAGTGCCATCCAAGCGTAGTGGCGTTATGGTTGTGCCGCACTTTGAGAGCACTATAAGCGTTAGTGGATTGGATTTTTTTTTTTTATTGTAGGAGCAACTATTTAATTTAAAAAGTAGAAAATTAATTAAAATAAGATATCTAAATTTATTGAATGCACTAAGTTATTTAACATATTTAAAATATGCTAAATTACTTATTTAATAGAATGTGTCATACTGTTTAACGCATTTCATCGAATGCACCCTTTAAAATGACAGACTACTACAATTCTGTAAAATTCAAGTCGACTGACTAGGGCCTGGGGGACATACGTGGTTAATGCATCAAATCATTTGGCGCATTCTAGAATGCACAAATTTATTTGACTTGTTTGTTCTATTTTAAATTTTAAAACTTACGTGCTCTTGCTATTAAAAAAAGTATATTAATATTTGCTCCTAAAAATAAAAAAAAAACCTCAGTGGGCTCGAAAAGGTTTTTTTGGGTTTTCATCAAATATATAAATTTTGAACTTTATATCTCTTCATTTATAACCGAAGCTTCCAACCAATTGAAAAGATGAATTGCATGACTCTAGGGTATTCACATATTATTTTTAATATTAAATTTGTATTATGCCAATTAATCTAACTAATATAAATTTTTTTAAAATTTACTAAGATTCTAATAATTAAATTTTATTTTCATTAAATTTATATTTCAAAATTATATGTTTTAAAGAAAATTATATATATATATATATATTTGGCAATAAACTTATGGAATAGTTCACTGTCTAGATAATATAAATTATATCATGAATATTAATTTTTTAAATAAAAAAATCTTAATGTGATTTTGATGATAAAATTTAATTGCAAAAATATAAATATGTATAAATATATGGAAATCATGTTATATAGACATATTAAATCTCCTAATATTTTTTATGTTTATTAAAAGCTTCATAATTTCACTTCATTCATCTTCTTTCCTTCTTGAATCTATCACATTTTACCAATCACCTCAACTAATGAGCTCAACTTCATCTAATAGCTGAATTTGAAGTCAAAATATAATAGAGTTGATATGAGATGCGAGGTGTTCGGATGGGTCTGTATGAGTGAGGACAGTTTGATAGTGTTGATTAGGTTGTAATAGTTCAATAATAGTGGTCTGATGATGGCACTCGTCTAATAATGATCGTAGGACAATGGTGGTTTAACGAAGGTGATTGGGCGGCGACAGTTCAACAATAACATTTAGGTGATGGTGGTTCGATGAGGCTAGTCACTACCAAAATTTTAAGGTTTAGGGTCTTATTGTAGTCAAAATTCCTGAACTAATAAATCAATTTAATTTATTATTTTATTCATTCAAATTAATATAAACGATAATAACTTATTTTAATTTAATTTTACTTATTAATTGGAAGGATGACAAATATTCTCAATAATAAAGGGATTAACTTAAATTTGTTTGGGTTTAACTATTACTAGTTATAAAAAACAAAATAATTTGTACAAAACAAAAATTGTGTTGGTTACAATGTGGGATCAGTTTGAACATCCATATGATTGAAAATTTATTCATATTTATATTTTGCAAAAAAGAGAATAGTTTTGTTTTGTTTTGTTTTTTCATTTATATTTTTGTAGTTAGAGCTTTAAAAATAGATAAATGTTAATTTTAATCATCAATTCAAAGCATTTAAACGAATTTTTATCTGATAAAATAAATATTTTTACTTTGTTCTTGTAATCTTACACAAAAATAATCAGTAAATTATTTTGAAATTTAACACCCAAATCTGATATATATATATATTAGCCGCTTGTTGCCTGTACAGGCGGCCAATTTGCAAAGGGCAGCATAGAAGTCGGCGGCCTCGAGCTCCGCGAGCACACCACATTCACTAAAATCTGGACCGCCGCCCCGCTCAACTCCGGCGACTCCAGCGCCACTTTCTTCTCTCCTTCCTCCCTTCCCTCCGGCTTCTTCCCCCTCGGCTCGCACGCTCAATCCCACACCCCCAATCCCTCCCCAACTCGCGCCCTCATTGCCCGCGACACCGCCAACTCCCTCGCCTCCCCCACCGACTTTACCGTCCTCTTCTCCAGCAACTTCTCCTCCCCTTCCCCCGTCTTCTTCTGGCTTCCCATACCCCCTCCAGGCTACACCGCCGCCGGCCACGTCATCACCACCTCCCCACAAAAACCCCCTCTCTCCTCCCTCCGCTGCCTCCCCAACCACCTCCTCGAACCATGCCATTCCGACGCCCCAACTTGGTCCCCCAAATCGGACCTCCCTTTCACCGTCCACCTCTCCTACTCCCTCGGCACCTTCGTCGCCGGCGGCGAACCTCCTCTCCATTGCCTAAAGAAGAATGACATAGCCCTCGCTGCGATGCCGAATCTCACCCAAATCAGGGCCCTGATCCAAACCTTCTCCCCCATATTCAATTTTCACCCGAAAGAGCTCTACCTACCCTCATCCGTCCCCTGGTTCTTCAACAACGGCGCGCTGCTTTACACTAACAGCAGCTCGAACGGCCCGGTCCGCATCGATCCGCCCGGCACCAACCTTCCCCAGGGTGGCACCAACGACGGAGCCTACTGGCTCGACCTTCCCACCGACCCTGCTTCTCAGAATACCATCAAAGCTGGAAACCTTTCCTTCGCCGAGGCCTACATCCACATCAAGCCGACGCTCGACGGCACCGCTACCGATATCGTTTTCTGGCTCTTCTACCCTTTCAATGGCCCGGCGAGGGCTAGGGCGGGGTTCATCGAAATATCCCTAGGGCGAATCGGAGAGCACGTCGGGGATTGGGAGCACGTGACTCAGAGATTCAGCAACTTCGACGGCGAGATGACGCAGATGTACTTCTCTCAGCACAGCTCCGGGGAATGGGTGAACGCGGCAGAGCTAGAGTATGCTGCGGTGGGGGAGAGGCGGCCGGCGGCGTATGCGACGCTACACGGGCACGCGTTTTATAGCAAGGCGGGGCTGGTGTTGAAGGGGGAAGCGGAGAAGATTGGGATAAAGGATGAGACGGCGGAAGAGGGAGCGGTGATGGACGCGGCGGCGGGTTGCCTGGTGGTGTCAGCGGAGCATTTGGGGTTGGAGGAACCGGCGTGGTTGCAGTATATGAGAGAGTGGGGGCCGAAGGTGAGCTATGACGTGGATAAGGAGTTGGGGAAGATGATGAGGTTTCTGCCGGGGAAGATGAAGAGAGGGCTGAGGACTCTGGTGGGCAGGCTGCCGAAGGAGATGCTGGGGGAAGAAGGGCCGACAGGGCCGAAGGGGAAAGCCAGCTGGAATGGGGAGGAGTCCTAGATGACGATGATGATGATGATTTACCATCAGCTTATCCTAGATGACAATGCAACCATTTGCAGCTGCTTTTGAACAGGTAAGTGCTTTGTGAGAAGCGACTAAAAGCACTTATAATTTCATGACTTGAAGCTTTGACTTTTGCTTATTAATTGGATATTTATTTATATAAATATATGTGTAAATTTTTTTGTTAAATTTGCTCAAAGTTGAAAATATGAGTTAAAAGCACATAACATAGCTACAAATGGGTTCTAAAGGATCCTTCCACTAATGAATATAGATTCAAATTATACATAAAACCTTGGAGCTGTGATTCAAATCATTAAGAGACTAGAAGCATTCTAAGAAGTGTAGTACACTCTATTGGAAAGGATTAATTATTATGTGCGGATGTCGAGCACAGTTCAGAGACCAATCAGAATACGTCACGTCACCTCTTCGCTGTGTAACACAGCTGAGTACGTCTGACGTGACTGCACCAGATTCACCTCTGAACATAAAATTGTGACCGGTGTCAGCACAAAATTATTTCTCTTTAGAAAGCCCTTCATTAAAAAACAAAAATCATAGATGCTAATTATTAACTTTTTAAAAGACTACGAGGCATCATCATATATTAGGTGTGCAATAAATTATGAGCATTTGTGATAGAATGATATAGATTATTTTCACTCAGTTCATTAATTAGATGAAAGAAGGCGTCCATGATAAAGGTCAAGAGATACGGAGGCATTGGGTAACCCTACAATAAAACAATTATAGAGTTTAAGATTTCGTTTGAGATTATCTTTTTAATATTTTTTAAAGTAACTTTTTTTTTTATAAAAATCAAATTTTTTATACTAAAAATTTATTTTAAAAAGCAATAAAAACGCCGTCCCAAACGAAGCTTAAAATAGCCAGAGAGGTTGTCATTGATGATAATTGAAAGCACTCATCAGATATATAGCTTTTGATCTACTTCACAAATTGAGGATGAAAAATTTTTGCCAACAACTTGGCAATAATCTTATAAAAGATTCTATACCAACAAATAGACTTATAATTAGATTTATTTGTTTAGAAAATATTTTACTAGCTTTTTCAAAGATACAATAAAACAAAAAAAAAAAAAAAAAACGCACATTGCCATTTTTTATGAAAATATTGTATAGGGAAATTTACTTACAATACTAGTTCTTTCTATTAGTACATCTCTCTGCAACCTTGAAAGTCTGACACTAAATAAAGACTTGCATATTCTTTGAGCAAATAATCTTACTGGTCAAGCAAATCCAATGACACAACTTCTCACTAGACATTATTTTTATGTAAACAAAACCTTTAGGGGGTAGCAGGATATAGGCAGGATTCAAGGCGAATTTGAGCGAAATTCATCCAAACGGCCTAAAATGCAAAACCAAATCCCACAGCAAATGAAAGCCGCTGTAGACGGAAAATTCTGCCTTTTCGTTCTAAATCCTGGATTTCTGAAATCATGTTTTTTTGTCGGATTTACCGAGAGGAAGAGTCCGCTCGTTAAATCCGCTCTAAAGCCAAACAGCTATACAGTATTTAATATGATTTATCATAAATGTTACCCAACAATTTTCAGGATTTCCGAAATCCGGATTTAGATGATTTATGAAATCCTACTTAAATCAAATCCTGGGTGCTACCAAACAGCCCTTACATTGAACCAAAAATAAACCCACCCAAAAATTTTCATCCACGGCTTTTGGGCGATGTTGCATTACTGGTGCTAGTCAAAATCATCTCCTCAGCTCGTAATATAAGCCCTAGTTCAACTGAAATGAACCGCTTCCAGATCCTCTAGGAGTTTGAATGTGTTCGCCGCACCAAACTTTCGGCGCTCCTCGGGGTCCTCATCTGATTCATCACTGCTAGATTCATCACTGCTAGATTCAACTTCTTCTTCATCATCATCATAGCTACTAGTGGACAAATGTGTGGTAGGATCATGGATGCTTTTGGCATTGCAGTTTTGTGTGGCAAGCATTTTGACCTGACCAAGGTGAGAAATCTCCACAATTACCTTATCTCCATCTTCAGATAGAGGCTGCTTCCATGGTTCACCATCCATTCTCATGTATGTATGATCAACAACAGACTTGTGAAACTTGAAACGAACCCGGTTTGTCTGCATGGTATTACCCATCAATAACAAAGCGCATGAGTTCCCACATAAATGACGAAATCTAGGAACTTTTTTATTGTTGAAACTATAATAAAATTGATCCTCTATTCGAGAGGATGATCGTTCTCTCCCAATCTCCATACACTAAGTCTAGAGCTCAAAACACCCAAGAGACTCCCAAAAGAAAGCAATACTTACGCATGCCTACCCCTCCTCTCTCTTCCCTATTTATAAGCCTCCCTAGCCTTAGCCACCCCTCTCTCCTTGTCAAAAATACTTTTAATTTAATTTTTAAATCCATTAGTGGGCCACACCGTGGGCGGCAATCCAAAATAGGGCCGTGGGCCCCACTTGCTTAGGCGGCAAGACTTTTGGGAGGCGGTTTGAACCGTCTCTTATAAACAAGGGCCGGCCCATGTGTGGCAGGCTGGGTCGGTTCTTGAACCGACCTAACACATTTGCTTTGCCACCATGGGTTGAGTGAGGAGCAACTGTCTTTGAAAGTCCTAAAAATCTTATATTTTATAAGGAAATTTGTGTTTTGTCCCTTCTTACTACTTATCAGTACGATATCTTAATCACAAATCATCATGTCTACCCGCTTTAATAGGTTTTGTAGGTCTGCCTCTGTCTTCCACAAAATATTATTTGATCAAATCATTTATGGGTTCTATGTTGGAATTTCAGTTGTAAATGGAAGGTTTTTGTTGGAAGAATGCTAAGCAGTTACCTGTGCTAAACGAGTCCCATGTCCTTTCGGAGCGAGCAGAACAAGACCATGCCATGCATTTCTAAAACCCACAATTTCAAAAAGTCCATCGTCCACGTAAGGTGCTGTTAGATTCCTCTGTAGAAATTACATTTTCAATTTCATCTCTATAAAATATATCAATAAAAGATGTGATTTTTGAAAATTGCAACATAGAATCCATTATATATAACATTGCTTTGGCTAATGTTTTGAAAATATATTGACTTTGTTGGCATGTAAAGAATTGAAACAATTAAATAATAGATTTTTCATGTACTTGTAGATAATAATATTAGATAAGGTACTCACATCTTGTTTCTTTCTCTTGTTAGGAGTTCCCCATGGATTCAAACCTCCAGAAAAGCTAGGTAAGTTGAGACAAATTATGGACCTAATGCTGCAAATTGTATAGAATTTGATTAGTAGGATGACAATCATAGATTCCAAATTTTGTATAGCACAGAGACAATATGATAGGCAGTTTTTCATTGAAAAAAAGGCAATAAACAACTGCATTAACTAGCATTAATAACATTCTACAGTAACTGAAGAGCGGAATGGTAGACAATACAGTCTAGTCAACGATCTATATTTTCCTACACTAAAAAGGGTGTACTTAAGGGGTAAATGAATCGAGCTAGCTCTGGCTTGAATTTGAATTTTGATTTTCTTAACAACCTGATCTACTTTAGAGAGAAGGTTATTTCCATAACTTTAATGAGACTTCTAGATTATAATAGAGGCAAGTAACCATTATTCCAAACTCATCTTCTACGGAATGGCGAAGAATATAATACCAAATCAAATGCTCATATTACCAGCCTTTATATGTGTGTGGAGGTTTAGTTCACCAAAAGGTTTAAAGTAGAATAAAAGATTTAGAGTTGCTAGCCTAGCTGATAAAAATCCCTAGTAAGTTGTTCGCGCATAAATTAAATATTCCATTAAATTTTAAAGAAGAGTACATCATATGTATTTGGAGTTGAATGATAGATATATAACTTTCTCTATGTTAGTAACTGAGATGAATTACTTATTATGAAAACAAAAGCTGGAAGTGGAGAAGAAAGCATTGATACTGCTGCTATTACTATCTTCTCTTCTTGGTTGTAAGCTTCTCTCTCTCTTCCCTTCTTTGTTGTAAAAGCTTCTCCCAATTATGGCTGAAAGCTTAAGCCTCTCTCTACTTTTGTTTAGTTATAAGACGCTTCAACACAATGCAAGCATCTCCTCATATAGTGCTTAGAGGTGTTAGATAATAAGATTGAGTATGTTAGGTAGATGGAAGTAGGTATTATAATATAGATGTTAAATATTGGATGATAGATAATAAATTTATAAGAGCGAGATAGAGTAGTAGGTAATATGAGTTAGGTAGAGAAATTTATTTTCACATCTTAATACTATCCAACTTGGAGATAGAATTTCAATTTACTTATTTAGTGATCAATATTTAGACACCTCTCCTATGTGGCACCTTCATATCATCATTCGTGGATGCTAATCAGGCTTTAAGAAGCCTCAATTAAAATCACAGTAGTTGATAAAATGTGTTGCCAAAGGACCCAGCCGTTACATGCTTTATTTATATGAATCATCTCTCTAACAGTTGGGTCCTTTGGCAACATATTTTGTCAAGTCCTGTGATTTTAATTGAATAATATTTGACCTCAAACTTTCTTTATGAATCTACCAAGAAAAAAATGTATGAGCTTAATAGAAAAAAAAAAAAGAGGGGGAGAGAAAGAAAGGAGAGAGAACACAATTAAGAATGTTGAAAATAAATGATATATAAAATATATTTAATTATTTGTAATTTAGAGATTAGCCCCATTAACTGAATACACTCTTCTAGTAATGATAAAATAGAGTCAAGTAAGCAATTTTATCTCAACATCCACTTATAATACCTAAAATTCCTCTCTTATTTAACATTTGGAGATATCTTTAACTCTTTTAGGCTCAAGGATCAAATTGACTCAATTTACATTAGTTGAGGAGCTAAAATGGGGCAATGTGACACTCTGGGACTAAATTGGATATTTATTGATAGTCGGGGGACTAATTTGAGCTTTTAGTCGTTGTTGATGAAAACAAAAGACTTGAAATTCAAACCAGGTGATAAGGCAATTGTCATTTGGACTTTGAAAGATTTCTTATATGGACATTTAAGAAATTAATTGCAAGAAAGGTGTGGCATATTAAGTCTTCAACACTTTGCGATGTATGCTGATAAACTAAAAATCCTAGGGAGGTATTCTAGACTTCAATGTATCTAATTTGAGTTTACTTTATGAACCTGCAAGCAGTGTCATTGATTCTTCTCTCTTTATTTTCCTCTTAGTGAATTCACATCCACAACTTATCACAGAAATCTACTTTATCTTGTTCCATAAACTATTCTGAATGAGGAAATTATGTTCACTACTGATGGTGGATATCAGAAGTATCTTACACGCTAGTGTGTAAAAACCTCATTTGCGGTGATTCATAGATTACCTTATAGGAAACACAACAATTATGCCTAAATTTATTTGATGAGTGTCAAATTTTTTCGAGCAAGGTAGATTTGATGGAAATTTAAAAGTTTACATACAAACAAATATTGTGAGCCTAAGGATGAGTACAATGGAATTTAAGCTTTGACATTGAATTTTAGTTTTTTATTTTCTATTTTTAGTTCATTTTTAATCATAACTAGAGAACGGGATGTGTTCTATAATGTTTGATTTACTACTACAAGTGAATTTGATTCAGATCATTCTGCTTTATTTAAGACTTGCGTGTCTATCTTACAAAAATGTTAGCTTTCCTGGGAAAACAGGCTAGTATATTACAAAAATATTAGTAGATAATCAACATCCAGAATAAGAATTATTGAGAAGTAAATTTTACAGATGATAAGAAATTCTTGCAAGACTACAAGGAAAATCAGCTTTAAAACGCCTGTCAAGTGACCATGTTTCCTCATGATTTGGGTTTAGAAAATGAAATTTTGAAGGTACATTGGCAAAGAAGATTAGTTCGCATAAGCAATGATAAAAAAATGAAGCTCGGAATGATTTCACGAGAAACATTAAAAAAAAAAAACCTGCTAGATATGTGTAATTTTTCCCAATGGCCAGATCTCCTCATCACTTTTACCTCTGCAAGCTGAGCAATGTTCCTGAGACAAATGTAAATTCCTGATTTCAATTCACCGTGAAAAAATACAAAGCCAAATAATGGAGAGAAAAGTAAATCGAGAATGAAAAGTTTAGCAGGCTCGATAGCTAGTTGAATGCAAAAAAAAAAAAAAAAAAAAGGACCATAGTACGAAAACAAAACACCATAAATGAATAATACATATGGATATTTTTCCAGAAAATCAATGGACACTTGATTGAATGGTGTGTTGCCTTTACCTTCAAAATAGATGTCATTGTTTCACGTCACTGCAAAAAAAGTTATATATTCGGCATATCAATAATTCTGGTAAAGGCTAGTTTATGTTCGTAATTATGCTTGAATTAGCTACATATGTAAAAGCGTTGAGCACCTGTTTGGATGCAATGCTTTTTATTTGCAGGAGATAGTTTTTAAAGGTTTCAGTAAATGAGAATTGAAGGCATTTATCAGAGTCAGCTAATATAACTATTTGAATTCATAGCTTGCGGAAGGTACAAGCAATCAAGGATATGTAAACTGCTGTCTCCATTTACACAGCCGTAAAGATCTCATCCGGGATCATGCCAGTTTATGGTCCATTTGTCACTCGATGCTAATTTTTTCAAATAGCAACACTATTATATTTGTCCTTTAATTTCTTTAGCTTATTTGTAAAAACTTTTTTTTTTTAGTATTTTCCTTATGGGGTATATGTGTAAATTTCAGTTTACGTAATAACCTTTAAGTACAGTTATAACAAAAGACAATTTAATTTAGTTCTCTCCTTGAGAATTTCCTCTCCTCTCCTACTCCCCCACTGTGTCTATTTCTGGTTTCTGTTTTTGCTGGAAGTCAGGTTCTGTTCCAGAATTGCGAGGATTAAACAGGTTTACACTCATGAAAAGAAGGCTGGGCTGAAGCTGCCATTGCTGTAGAGTTTGTAGTGGCATCTGCAGAGGCCTTGCTAAGGCAAGACGGTGTAGTTCCTTTCAAGTTGGTCGCTTCTTGCTGTGGATGCAAGAATTCACTGCTTGCTGGGAGAACCAGGAGCCGCTAGAACCAGAGAATCCTTTTCTATCAACTGACGGGTTAAGCATTTGGAAGAGGGCACAATGGCTGGTGTGGGGGACTACTAAAGGAAGGACTGGCTGCAGGAAGAGAACTACTGCAAGAAGGAAGAGCTCATGACAGCCCATTCACAGGGACTGATCAAGAAGAATTCATGAAAAGGGGAGTCTTCTTGGTGACATGAGTCTGTTTTTCAAGATATCGTGCAGATTCTCTAAAAGGCGACCACAATTCTTAATTGAGATAATCAAGGGTATGCAATATGATGTCTCACTCTATGCCATTAAGACCTCCTCTGTGGTCATGTTAGTTTGCAATCCATGTTCCCACCAATTTATTTCGACATAAAACCACAAATCCTAATTGAATTTAAGGCATCCATCATATCTTAGCTAATCTAAACATCTGAAATTAGAACTTCCAGATATCATTAGTGTAGGCTATCAATGGTATGTAAGATGACCACTACATTCGCTCCAAATCATGGAGATCTCATCCAGGATCTCATTGGTTTGTTGTTCATGTGCTTGCTTTATAAGTGAAATAATACCACAAACCATTCTTATTTGCTGCTGATTTCACCTATGAAGGCTTCCTTCAAACAATATTAAATACTATGAATTAACCTTTTTAATCCGTTCTCATACTTTTTTAACTTCTCGTATCCAAGTTTACTAAATGCACCAATCAGTGTCAACTAGTAATTTACATGTTTCAGTGAAGCTTGGGCTGCTAATAGAACTACAGAAAATCATAATCACAGCTGTAGGGTCATGCAAATTGCTTGCATCTCTTGGAAAAAGTTTTAGGGTTCACTCAATAAACTATAAAGTCTATTATATTGATTATTGTTAATGACTATATTCTACAGTCAGCATTTGTGACAACATATCATTTCCAAAAGCATGACGTTCCTTTTTTTTTTTCTCTCTCTCTCTAGTTAACCATCTAGTGCAAATGAATTCTCCCTTTTGTCATTTTGGTGTTAAGACGATAGAGATAAACATCACTATAGTAATATTATTTGCATGGTTTAAATCATTTGTTCTGAATAGCTTCTTGTCACATGTCAATATAAGTGTGACCATCGGCCCTCATCTTAGGCAACTCACAGTAAGGAATTAAAAATTAAAAATAAAGAATGGTCATCAGATCGAAAGGCATTATTTGAGAGTAGAAGAGGCAAAATTTCTCATGGATATTTAACAGCAGATCATAAGAGATTAGCTTGATAAATTATCTAGGTTCTAGTACATCCTATTAAAAGCAACTTCTTGTAAAGTATGCCCAAAGGGACATATCTTATATCAAAGATTAATAATTAACATATAAATGACAATTACCTTGAATGAGGATGAACTAGAGATGAAAAGAACCATCCTTGAGTGCATCCAAGCTTAGCATACGTGGCCTGCATGTGTTAATAATCAAAACACTATAAGTTTAAAACAGGGATTTTTTTGTAGATGTTAGAAGGATTACACTTTCTTAAGTTGAAAGGACAGGATATTCTTCTTTCATTTAAGAAAAAAGAGGATGTTTCTTAATTCCCAGTGCATTAGGTTCCACCTATACGAGCCTAAAGCAATAGTTGGTTTGCTAGGATAATAGTAATGAGCAAAAACATGAAGAAAATAAACTAAATCCAATAAATATACAAACATAAACACAAGCACATACAAAAAGTTTGTGGTTTGGTGAGATCCTCCTAGGTGCGCCAACCACATAGAGAATAAATAATTGATTAAGCTTCAAAAAGGCTGCATGGTGAGAAAAGTTGAAGATAAGGACAAGATACCATTTTTGTCTATGTCAATGGATGAGAAAACGTAGCAATCTAATGTGAAGATGTAGCTTAGATGTTGAGAAGAAGATGCTGTTGTTGCTCCTTACTCTATTTATTTTAGGAGTCCAAATAAGAGCTTATCCTTACTATAATCAAAACCTTCTCTTTCTGGAACAACAAATTGTATTACTCTTTCATGTTGAAGAACTCAAAGACATTTGCCTACAAGTATCTACATAAAATTACTACTCCCTTTTTTTTTCAAAGGACAACCCTTCTCCTCTCGCTCTCTTTCATTTTTGTTTTCTTGTTGTTGTGGGATGCGAACCCCTCTGTTTGGGGGTTTATTTATAGCCTAAGAAAACCTAAAATTCATTTGCAAGATCTTCATAGCCCATCAAAAAGATCACAATATCTTCATAGCTTGTAAAAAGGGATAATAAGATTTTCCTACAACAACAACAACAACATCAAGCCTTTATCCCACTACGGGTCGCTACATGAATCCTTTTTCTCCATTGTGTCCTATTAAAAGTCAAATTCTCGTTTAAATCTAAATAAGAAAGGTCATTCCTTATTTTCTAACCAAGTCTTTTTAGGTCTACCTACCTTTTTTAACATAAGTCAAATCTAATACCTCTACTTTCACCGGGTCATCGGAAGACCGCCGTTTTATGTGACCAAACCATCTAAGGCGACTCTCTCTAATCTTATCTTCTACTGGAGCTACTCCAATCTTTTCACGTATATGCTCATTTTGTATCCTATCTCTAAGGGTAAAGCCACTCATCCACCTAAGCATCCTCATCTCTGCCACACTTAACTTAGTATTATGTTCTCTTTTAATGGCCAACATTCGGCACCATAAAGCATTGCAGGCCTCACTACCATCTTATAGAATTTTCCCTTAAGTTTGAGGGGTACATTTCTATCACATAACAAGCCCGATGCATTCCTCCACTTCAACCATCCAACTTGAATTCTGCTGATAATATCCCCATCTATTTCACCATCACTCTGAACAATAGATCCAAGATATCTAAAACGTGTACTCTTATTAATGACTTGATCGCCCAAAGTCACAATCCCCTCACTAGGTCTACTACTAAAATTACACTCCATATATTCCGTTTTAGATCTACTCAAGCGAAAACCTTTAGACTCTAAGGTTGACCTCATAATTCAAGTTTACCTTCAACTCCCTCTCTAGTCTTATCAACAAGAAGAATATCATCAGCAAAAAGCATACACCAAGGTACATCCTCTTGCAAATGTCTAGTGAGAACATCCATGACTAAAGCAAAAAGAAATGGGCTTAAGGATGATCCTTGATGTACCCAACCGAAATAGGAAATACTTGGTCAATCCACCTTGTGTTTGAACACAAGTAATAGCTCCTGCATACATATCTTTAATGATTTGAATATAAGCATTATTGACTCCTTTCTTTTCAAAGAACTCTCCATAGCACTTCTCTTGGAATTTTATCATATGCTTTTTCTAAATCAATAAATATCATATGTAGATCCTCCTTATTTTCTCTATATTTCCATCAAACCTCTTAATAAATGTATGGCTTCCATAGTCGACCTACCCGGCATAAATCCAATATGATTTTGAGAAACATTAGTATCAGCCGCAACTATGCTCCATAACTCGCTCCCAAAGTTTTAAAGTATGACACATTAACTTAATACTCTATAATTCGCACAATCTTGTGCATCACCTTTATTCTTAAAAATAGGAATTAACACACTCATTCTCCACTCATCTGGCATCTTTTAGTCTTCAAAATAGTATTAAAAAGTTTAGTAAGCCATGAAATTCCTTCATCTCCTAAGCATTTCCACACCTCTATTGGAATATCATCAGGTCCAACAGCTTTTTCACCATTCATTTTCTTTAAAGCCTCTCTAACTTCAGTTTTACTAATACGCCGATAAAAACAGAAATCTTTATTTCATTTAGGGTGCTAAGGTCATTATAGTCAATCTTATTTTCACAATCTTCATTAAAAAGTTTAGCAAAATATCTCATCCATCTTTGTTGAATATCAGCTTCTAAGAAAAGTATTTTTTGATCTTCATCTTTAATACACTTCACTTGAACTAAATCCTTACTACTCCTATCTCTTCGTTTGGCTAACTTATACATATATTTTCTCCCTCTTTAGTATCTAATCTATTATATAAATCACTAAAAGCTAATGTCTTTGCATCGCATATTGCTTTCTTAGCATCCTTACGAGCCACTTTATATATTTTCCAATTATCAGAATTTTTAAAATTAAACCAATTTTTCTAACAAAGCTTCTTATTTTTAATCTTTTCTTGCACATTTGGATTCCACCGCCAACTACTTTTACTATTAGGAGCTTTTCCCTTTGATACTCCAAGGATATCTTTTGCAATATTCTTAATATTTCTAGCCATTTTTCCCACATAATATTAGCATCCTCATGCACAGACAAAATCTTAAGATCTAAAATCTTATTTCCAAAATATTTTTGTTAATATTCTTAAATGCCCCATCTAATCCTAGAAAATCGTTTTACTTTATTTTTTTATTTATGCCCTTTTTATCTTAAGTCTAAAACTAATAATCGATGTTGGGTACATAAATTTTCACTTGGAATAACTTTACAATCTTTGCAATCTAAATGATTTAGTTTTCTAATAAGAAAATAGTCAATCTGTGTTGTACTATATCCATTTTTATAAGTGATGAGATGCTCATTTCTTTCTTAAATAAGGTATAGCAATTGAAAAATCAATAAGCTAAACAAAAATCCAATATGGTCTTGCCACCTTCATTCGTCGTTCCAAATCCATGGCCACCATGAATGCTTTTAAAAATCATCTACCTCTCTACCAACATTTCCATTTAAATCTCCTCCAATAAAACTCTTTCTTCAATAGGTATCTTTTGTATTAATTCTTCTAAGTCATTCCAAAATTTAATTTAGAACTCATATCCAAACCTACTTGAGGAGCATAAGCACTTATAATATTAACAATCTTATCATCAACAACAATCTTTAAAGCTATAATTCTATCTCCAATCCTATTAATTTTTATAATATTATCCTTTAAACTCTATCTATAATAACACATACACCATTTCTAGTACGACTCCGACCCGAATACCAAAGTTTAAATCCTAAACTATCAAATTTCCTTAGCCTTCTCACCAACCCATTTAGTTTCCTGAATGCCACAAAATATTTAACTTCCTATGAATCATAATATCTATTAATTCCATTAATTTTCCTGTAAGGGAACCTATATTCCAAGTTCCTATCCTAATTTTAGTTTCATGGACACATACACCATTTCTAGTACGACTCCGACCCGAATACCAAAGTTAAATCCTAAACTATCAATTTCCTAGCCTTCTCACCAACCCATTTAGTTTCCTGAATGCACAAAATATTTAACTTCCTATAATCATAATATCTATTAATTCCATTAAATTTTCCTGTAAGGAACCTATATTCCAAGTTCCTATCCTAATTTTAGTTTCATGGACTAGCTTTTTGCCCACATCGTCCTTGATGTGGGAACGCCCTTGCCTATTTAACACTGCACCCGGGCGCCGGTGCAGCGGCCCTTGCACACTTGTCACAGTATTCAGGCCATACAGCGCGTCGCTTCCAGGGGACGCCCTAGCATTAACACAATTTCTTAAAGGATTCATGTCATTATTGTTCGACAAGTTTTATGCTGGCTGTCGACTACCTAACGCAACCCTCCACTTTTCTCATCCAAGACGACTACCTAAGCACCTATGTCATAATAAGATTTTCCTAATATACAAAAAAGATTAGCCAAATATTTGTATTAAATGGGAGATACCGATCATATATTGTGAAAATTATGTGGAGTAAATTTTAACTAGACACATTTAACAATTTTCCTCTTAGACATACAAATTTTCAATGAATGAACCAAGCTTAGCGTGCAATGTCCAAATATCATTTGTATGGAATCTTTATCATCATTCATAGAATTTAATTAACGCCTCAAAAAACATCAGTTTATCTAAAAGCGCAACTTTAGTGGGCATATTTATAAGATTTGATACTCCTTTAATTTTATTTGCTACCAAGCATCCTCTTCTTGTAAACCATGAGTAAAGTGGTGCTTCAGCAGCTCAGCTATATATCTTTCTAGTGAAATGGTGTACAGCATTCTTTGCTGAATAATGTTTTCATTACACAAATGAGAGCCACATTTTCTCATGATTCAATTCTTCAAGAATTTTTTTGAGCCAAGTCATATCCTTATTGGCTTCAATGATAGTTACGTATTTAGCTTTAGTAGTACATGGTGAAACCATTCTCTGAAGTAGTGACATTTAACTAATTGAACTACCACCCAAAGTATAGATGTACATAGCACTTTTTTTTAATGTAAGTTTACAACTAAATCTGAAATAACATGGGTTTACATTTTAAAGTTAGTCCTTTTAAATTTTAGATAATAGTTTATTATACCTTTAAGATAGTGCAAGATTCATTTAACAACTACCCAATGCTCTACTCTCAAATTTTTGTGTATTTGTTGACTGCTCTTATTACTTGTGAAATGTATGAACTTGTGTCGATTATGCATACATGAGTGATACAATGGTTTGGGTATAAGGGACTTTACTAAAGTGCTCCTTTTCTTATTTAATTTGTGATATTCATATTATAGACAACCTAAAATTATTACTGAGGGCATAGTCATTGTCATTGCCTTTGTCATGATGTATCTATGAAGCAACTTTTTAATATGTTATTGTAATGAAATACTTATGGAATATGTGGCCTTGTTATGATATATTTTCATCCCAATCCCGCTTGACAAAATCTTTATAACACTTGGCCTCTTATGCATCTACAAGCAACAATAATAAAGTGAATGGAAATAAGCTTTAGTCAGCTTATGAGTTCTTTATGACCTTCTAACCTGGGTCACATATGTACTAGGATGCTCAAGTTGCTTCTGATTTTCTTTTGATGTTTCCCTTCTCTAATTTTTAATAGTGGGCTCCTTTAGGATAACATTCTTTGGAGCCATTTTTTTTTAACCTGCCTTTATATAATACAAAATCATTAAAGATAATATTTTTACTTTTGAATATTTTTTATATGTTCAATGTCCCAAATGTATACCCAAACTCATATGTCATATATAAATATATAATGAAATAATATTTTCTTGAATTTTGGGGCAAGCTTATCTCTAATAATCCTATAGACTTAAGGAAAATAACTAAAATATTTTAAATGTGCAATCTCCTTTAAGTAGGACATTCAATCAACTGAGGACTATTAGCTGCACTCGACTTAGGCTTCTTGAAGAAGCTTATGTTTATAACATCTACCCAAAATACCTCAAGTAGATAGGCCTACTGTCTCATTATTCTTGCTTATGTATTAAAAAAAAAAAGATTCTTGCTTATGTATTAGTTTCTTTATTCATCGTCTAAACTACATTTTTTTCTGAAGAGTTCTTAGATAGATCTTTCCATATGGATCCCCTTAGTGGTCCAATAGTTTTGATTCTATAGTTATACTCACCACCATTATTTGATTGAAATTAGTTGATTTTATCTCCAAGTTCATTCTCCGCCAAATTCTTCACTTTACAAAGAAGGTAAACATGCCAAATTTATTTTCAGTGACCCATACCTTCATAATGTTGTTGTTAATGAAGGTGATGTACTACAATGATTCGACAAGGAAAGCAAAGCTCGATAATCCCCATAGTTTTGAGAACAACTTCGATCTTTTGGTCTTTAGTTCTCTCCTAATTTTAGAAAAATTGATCTATTTTAGTTGCCTAATATAAAATATTCACACAAGGTAGATTAAACAAGATTTTAACTTAAATTTTTACTTTCGAAAAAGATAATTTTTAAGAATTTCATGTTCTATGGCCTAGCATTTAGTATCATAGACCTAAATATGCCTCTGCGCTAGTGGCTACTTCCATTGTCACTTTGATGGTTGTTATATAAAGAGTGCATGCATTGTTGTCTGCATCAATCACCAAGGCGTTTTTTTATATTTTTCAAGTATCAGTGTTTAAAGTGGCATGGTAATCTTCTGTAGTTAATTGTCTTGTGGAGTTAGGTCTATCCTCAAGGCAAAGAAATGCCTAATTTTATTTAGCCTTCAAATGTTGTCATTTTTTGTCTTGATTATGACATCTCCAATGCCTAAAAAGCTCCTCATCAATAAGAAACATTTTCCTATAATTATATGTCAGTAGTTTTTCATTAGATCTTTTTTTGAAATTAGAATGGAAGGATGAACTTGAGATCATAAGATATATAATCCTATGAAACCTTGAACCATGGTGCCGCAATTTGATAACAACAAATCAATTCTCAACTTCCAATCTTATGATTTTTTCAGAGCAGCTTTTATTTTCTATGGACAATGTAGTAATTCTTGTCCAAAGTAACGTGTAAAAGAGAGAGAACACTTTAATAATTTTCTATTATTTTAGTCCATCTCGGCTTCATGGTCCCGGCGTTGCTCCATTAAAAATTTTAGCATACACAGAAAGTTGAAGTATATTAGGACATAAAATTAATTGGATGTTAATGTGCATTTTTTATAAAACTGGTTAAGAAATAATGCGCAGTGACATGCTAATCTGGATTGTCATGTGATGTCTGGACAGCTTTTAGTATTATACTTCAGTGAGTAAGATTAAGTAGTGTAAATACCTAGATGGTAATTAAGGATTTTCTATATAATGAAACTCGTCATAAGGGGTTAAAAATTAACCAAGAAAAGTATAACTCTTTGTGTATGAAGAAATTAAAGAAAGAAAGAAAACCTGATTAGCTAACTGGTTCTTGAACTTCTCTGGATGCATCTTCCGCTCAGAGTGGAATGCATATGATACTTGTGCATCCATCCCTGCGAAAAAACAGAAATTACAGAGTCACAGTCCTCTCAATAATTTCAAAGCCACTGGCAGGCAAACTTAAATCCAATACAAGTAATTTAATTTCTAGAGTATTCAACAAGTACAACACATGGATGCGCATAGCAGTAATCCATTGTAAAACAAAACACTTGGTACCCATGTATTTATTATCCTTATAGACATAAGGTTTATTATATGGTCCGCATATGATTGTATGCCACAGTACTTGAAACATAAAAGTAGAATTAAAGCACAATATTTAACACAAAAAAGGTAGAATGACTTAGATTATAAGTATCCCATTGATAAGAAGATGTACCATTAGGTCATGGAGCAATGGAAGACGCCCCTCCATTAGATAGTATTGAAGCACAGAGAAATATGACATGTTTGAAGGGATCCTACTAATCTAGCATTTATTAATATTGAGCAAGGTTAAAGAAGCTTTCAAAGTAGCCGCGTTTCTCAGCCTAAGTATTTTTTTGGGCAATTTGATGCAATGCTAGGAGATAAGCTAACAAAGCTCAATAAGGTTCTAACGCCCCCTAGAATAATTTGAAATAAAACTAGGATGAATGATTTAAAGTATCACATACAAAATAATACAAAATGTGCTTGAAAATCAAATACAATTATAGCATTATGCTTTTTTAGTTCAAAAGAACAAACTCTGCCAACGTTTGGAGTTCACTTATAAGCTTTTGTGTTAAATTGAAGCATGCATGACCTACAATTATAACACCCAATAATGCCATTGGCTTCTACAATGAAAAAAAAAAAAAATCCATGGAACTTATTTCTTCAAATTATTTCTTGAAATCATTTTCTTATGATTTATAACATACTTTAGATTTTAAACCTCTTTTGAATTTCATGATAATTTATACATGTGGATGTGATAAGAAACCTGAAAAGGCAAGCAAATCCTTCGAACATTGTTATCTTTTTTAAATAGCCATTTCAAATGACTATATAAATATAATAATGCATGAGGGGATAGGAGTATTCAATCCCATGTGCTGTTTTTCATAATAAAACATATCATTATTGCGTCACGCAAGAGTGAAATGCAAAAATGCACATTCTCTTTAACATAGAAACTCTTACCCATACTGAAATAGTTCCAAAATCCACCTCGAAATGTCTGATAACCTTCCTGAGAAGATTGAAAATGTAATGTCTTAGAAATAGAAACACAAATACTAATGATAGCTGAAGCAATTATTAGTTGAAAACAGCATGTAATCATATATATGAAGTTTGAGACTGCATCAATGAAAAAACTTGCTTAAGATCCGTTTGTATGATTTTACCTTGTCAACTATTACACCTACATGAAATGCATTGGGTGCACGGATACATTTCTGGAAAAATATATTTGTTTGTATAGTTGGTCTCCTTACCGTGTTAAGTAAATCTGTTTCTGCAACCCTCTGAAATGAATGCAAGGATTGAGGCAAGTCCAAAGGAATAGGATCACAAGAACCACTTTTTGGAGTAGGCATCCTCATGACAACGTGCCAGCTGAATCATCAAAGCACATACAGCATCAGCCAAAATCATAGTTGCAAATACCTATATCTTGCATTGAGGAGTGCCTTCACTTGCTAATTCTTTTATTACCAACTCAACATGTCAAATTTGTGACAAATATGAGAAAAATAAAATTATTAGATGCATGCCTAATTTCATAGCTATGTTAAGCGTAAAAATAAGAAAGGAAACTTCCTATAAAGTATAATTAGATATGCCTATACAACCAAAACTGGGAAAATATGTCTGCTCTCCATTCAAATTCAAAAACCTAAAAGAACGGAACCATCTTGAAATCATTAGTAGAAATATCAAAGCTATATGAAAACTTATTGATAAGTGTACTTAGCCTACGTTACCTATCAATCTTCATTTCTTTTGCTGTCATCACTTGATCAAGAAATAAGTGCACAGCATGACGGTCTGTACCAGGGTTCTTCTTTCCCTATAATAGAAGTGCATGTTATGGTCTGAGAAAGAAAGATACTTCTTTTGATTTGTATCAATCAATCAACCGCTGATACAAATGTTTGAATGTAAGCGCAAGCAATGTTATTATGTGCCATAACCTCAGTGCTTACATAAATATCAAAAGGAAAAAAAAAAAACATGGTTATTTTTAACAGTCAGTCTAAATTGGAAATGCAAGAACATCCATTATGACTTAGGCTTCTTTTGGGATGGCTTTCTTACTGTTTTATAAAGCTATTTTTTAGTTAAAAAATATCTAAAATATCTTAAAAGCAATAAAAAAACCAATGATCTAAAGTTGTTCCAAACGAAGCTTTATACTTGTTGGATTAATAAGAACTGCTGTGATAAAAAGCAAAGATGGAACAAACCTACCCAACCAAAAGAGAATGGAAGATTGTTTCCAGTTCCAAGTGGAACTGTGGCAATAGGAGGCGGATTAGCTAGTTTAAGGTCAGAAACAACTCCAAGTAGCCAGCTTGCTGTACCATCACCACCTGCAACCTAATCAAACTGAATAAAAATGAAGGCTGAAAACCAAAATGCAATGAAATTACAATTCTGAAGAATTGCACTCCATTAATGATTTCTGTAGTTATTAAAGAGTCTTACAATCAATCTCAACCTATTCTGGATTTCAGCAGCATTGGTGTGACCATTAAATTTGAGCCTTTCCAAATTGCCATAAACTCTGTGAAGTACTTTGTCAGGAGCTTCCTCTCCTAAGTCAAAAACCTGAAATTAGAAACTTAAATGTCGTGAGGCAGTTGATACCTATAGTGCATATACTAATGAAAAGGACCAAAATATGTTCATCATTCAAATAATCATTTAGCACCTGATTTTTGTTAAGCAGCATCCGATATGTTATAATTAGATCGCTGCCAAGCTGACCACCGCTCCTTGAATTTATGAAGACAATAACAGGACATATTGGTATGTGCAAAGGTTGTTCGACTTCAGAATCGTGTTCTAATAAGTAATTTGGAATGTAGAATTCCTTGAGTAGATGATTAGCTTCAGAAGTATAGTCGCCCATGCCTCTAGCTGATCTACAGCATTAAAAGCCATCCCACCCATAATTAGACTGTATTGATTGTATTCAGATAGACAAATCATAAATGCAATAAGGAAACAAATTCAGTTCCTCTCAAAAGTAACTGAGATTGACTGTAAACCCTCAAACCTACTTCTTTCTCATCACCAAATACAGGCACAAAATAGTTTCGATGAATTTCATTACCATTCATTAAGGGAGACAGACGAGAAACAACAGCATACGCACCATTATCAAATCTGACTAATATTTACATGATCAAGCAAGCACTAAAGCTCAAACACTGCAGAAATTACGAAAAACAGTTCATAAATTGATTCCAAAGACTACGAGCTCCGTTCATCGGTGACGGTCTTCAGAACCTCAAAAAACAAACCTAGAAATCCCCAAAAATATTTAAAGAGAAACAAGAACTACGACCACTTACCGCTCGAAACCGGATCGCCAATAAGCACAAGAAATTCTAGTTTTATACCAAATTACCCACAAAATCCGCTTGACCAGATCGACTGGTCTTTTTTATTAATAAAAGGAATGATGAGAAGAAGAGAATATTCAGAAGAGGCCTGGGATGCTTCGACGTGCTCCCGTCATCATCGAGTAGCTGATGGCAAAGATGTAATTTACCGAAGTAGTGATCTTCAACTGATAGTCAAAATAATAATAATAATTAGAATGCTAAGATGAAATTTAATATAAAGTTTAATTGATTATTCATATATTATATTACTTTTAAAGTAAATAAATAATTTTGAGATATATTTTATTTTAATTTATTTTAAAAATCAATATGATTTAAAATTTAATTAATTATTTATGTATCATATTAATTATCTCATTAAATTTAATAAGTTTAATATTTATTTGAATTAATTTTTTATTATAATATTTAAATTTATGTTAAAATTTTTTAAAATTAATTTGATTTTCAATTTATTTTAACGTGTTTAAGTTATTAACTTTGAAACAGATAAAAAATAAGTTGAAATTATTGCAAATGAGTTCCGTAGTGGAGCCGCTCGAAAAACGCATGACTTCAAACACGGAACTTCGTAATAGGAAACAACAAAAAGAACGAATGGCGGTGCAGGTTAAAATAAAGTACATGCTCTCATTCAAGAACAATTATTAGGTCAGGTGATCTGACGTAGTTCTATCTTCACACATCAATAATATTTTGCCACGTCTTCTTAATTTTTACCGTGCGGCCCGACGACCCGACCCGGACCGGAACCCGAAATTGCTATGTTCGCGTATTGCTCAGTATTGCTAGGTATTGATTGGCAAAAACAAGAAATACCGCTCTGTGAAGACCAATACCGAGAAAACTCGGTATTGATATGTATTGGTCTTCACATAATGGTATTTCTCGTTATTGCCGAACAAAATCGACCAATACCTAGCAATACCGAGCAATAGCAAACATAGCAATCCCGGATCCGTTCCGGGTCGGGTTGTCGGGCTGTGCGGTAAAGAGTAAGAACACGTGGCACTATTTTACTGGCGTCCGAACGTAGATCTACGTTAGGTGACCGGACCAAATAAAAGTTCCTCATGCAGGGGATGAATTATTCTGTGTGGATACGGGGTGTTATCCGATTTTGTCTCTATGAACAATAAAAGTGCAGTAAAGTTCACATGATGGAATTTTTATTGGGTCAGATAACCTGATGTAGAGATACATCAGGTACCCAATAAAAAAATAAATTTATTTTAGCCAATAGACACGTTTAAATAATGGAATTGGTACCGGATGGCCCCATCATCTAGAAGAAACCTATGCTTTTTTTTTCTTTTTTTTTTGAAATATGGTTGTGTATGATATTTGGCTCTGGGTTTTCATTCACGACAACTTTTTAGTGTTTTTAAAGTATTTTTTAGTCAAAAAATTTTTATATTAAAAAACAGTAAAAAAAATTATCTTAAAAGAAGCTTAAATATTAACCAAAATGTAACAAATATATTTTTATTGTTATATTATTTTTGTGGTCATTAAACAATTTTAAGATGAGCATTCGACCATATGTATATGTTGATATAATTGTATGATTTATGAGCATTTAAAGATTAGATGATTTTCAATAATGTTCAATGGTGAAATCAATGGATGGTTGGGGCGGGTACTCACAACTCCTAAAATTAGGTTAAATTTTTTAATATTATATATGTTTTACATTAAAAAGTTTAACACTCATAAAAAAAATAAAAAATATACTTAATAATATAGAGTTGAAGCATAAGCTCTCAACCAACAGGCCAAGGTGAGATATGTAAGCTATGTTTCATTGTTATCATATTGTATAAACTTCTTCCCTAATTATGGTAAATAATTTTTTTTGTAATTAATGAAATAAACTATTGAAAATATTTTAACGGGGCAAGTGTCATAGTTTTTCTCTACTTTTTTAAATACATAATTTGATATATCTTACAACTTTTATTTATTCATTTATTCATTTATTTGTGTACCAGATTTAAAACAAAACTGAGATGTTAAACTCTCATTCTACAATTATAAATATTCTATATGAAACAACGATCAATCATTTATTCAAAATAATTATATTTAAAAATTTTAAGAAAGAATATCTCAATCTTGAACTAATAATGAGAACTTTTTTTCATCCTTTCCATACCACTTATGAGGAGGTGAAAAATCCATCGTTCGGAAGGTGCTCATGATCAAGATTGTTGCGTACTGGAGTATTCGCGGCAGTAGAAAAATATATAGTTTAATGTCTTAGCATTATACAAAGATCCAGCACGCAATCAGATAAGAGAGAGGATGCAGCGTTCATAAAAAGACACCATAGTTTTTACGTGGAAACCCTTGAAAAGGGGGAAAAACACAGGCCCTGGCCCAATTTGAATGAATCCACTAGTATTTGCAGTCGATTACAACTGAGGCCCTTCTTAGGGTAAAGGCCTTGGTTTGATGTCACAAATGTACATCATACAGAGTGCATTACATTGTGGGAGTTACAATAATCAACATAAACATGTTTGTTTGGTTGGAAGGGTCATAGTCGGCACAAGATAGGGGTCCGAAAGATCGTAGTTGGCAGGAGACCAGGTAGAAGGGCAGTACTCCGAGAGAACTCTAAGCATCAAGTTGTGGTCCGGAAGAAGTCCGGGCTTTAGGTGGTGGCCTAGTGGAGCTCAGGGCCTCAAGTGGTGATCTGAAATAAGTCCAGGCATTAGGTGGTGGCCTGGTGGAGCACAGGGTCTCAAGTGGTGGTCTGGCAAAATTCCAAGCATCAGGTGGTGTCCTGGTAGAGCACAAGGCCTCAAGTGGTGGTCCGGCAGAAATCTGGGCCTCAGGTTGTGGTCTGGCTGAAGTCCGAGCCTCAGGTGATGGTATGGCAGAAGTTCAGGCCTCGGGTAGTGGTCCGGTAGAAGTCTAGGCCTTAGGTGGTTGTCCAGCAGAAGTTCGAGCCTTAGGTGGTGGTCAGGCAGAGCAACGGTGTCAGGCGGTGGTCCGACGGAGGTAAGGGCCTTAAGTGGTGGTCAGGCGGAGAAACAACGTCAGGCGGTGGTCTGGCGGAGGTGAGGGCCTCTAGTGGTGGTCTGGCAGAGCAACGACGTCAGGCGATGGTCTGGCAGAGGTGAGGGCCTGAAATGGTGGTCTGGCATAAGTCTAGGCATCGGTGGTGGTCCGACAGAAGTCCAGGCTTCAAGTGGTGGTCCGACAGAGCAATGACGTCAGACGGTGGTACGGCGGAGTCCAGGTCTCAGGTGGTGGTCGGCGAAGGTGAGGACTTCAGCGGTGGTCCAATGAGGGTGAGGGTCTCAGGTGGTGGACCGGCAAAGGTGAGGGCCTTAAGTGGTGGTCCAACGGAGGAACGATGTCAGCGGTGGTCCGGGGGAGGTTAGGGCCTCAAGTGGTGGTACGATGAAGAACTGACATCAGGCAGTGGTATGGCGAAGGTGAGGGGTACAGGTGATGGTCCGACAGAAGTCTGGGCCTCAAGTGGTGGTCCGACAGAGCAACGATGTCAGGCAGTGGTCCGGCGGAAGTCTGGGCCTCATGTGGTGTCCAACGAAGGTGAGGGCCTCAAGCGGTTGTCTGGTGAGGGTGAAGGCCTCGGGTGATGGTCCGGCGGATGTGAGGGCCTCAAGTGGTTGTCCGGAAGAGCAACGATGTCAGGCGGTGGTCCGGCGAAAGTCCGGCGGTGGTCGAGGAGGAGCTTCTTCCTTCTCTTCTTGCTCGGGGTCCCCCTTTCAAGAGAAAGGAGGGGTCTATTTATAGACTAGGTTGGTATGACCCGTAAATAGGTGAGAGATCAAGGGTAAATAGAGAGTGTTTGGATGGATGTCCGATGTTGAATCCCTTGATCGTGGACCGTTTGGTGGACATTTGTATGCCTTAGTGATGTCAGAATTCAATGAGTTCATTGGATTCGTACGTCTCATCGAGCCGCTCGATTTGACTATAAGCACTTCATGTTTGGAACCGATTTGGTAATCCAAATTGTGGTTTGAACACTCCAACAGCTCTTCGGGTTCTTGATTTGGATTCATTTGGGCTCGGATTGAGTCAAATTTGGTGTCGTTGGGTTCGTATTTCTGAGACGCTCAGTTCGACTGTAAGTTCACTGAAATTGGAGTTCATATGATCCCAATTTTAATTTCGGAAGTTTTCAACTTGATTTTGCCTCGAGATTCGTGCCTGATCAAGATAATTTGTCGATGACGTATCAAAGATATATGATAAAATCTCTAAGTAAATTTGGCTCCATAATCACTAGGATAACACAATTTTAGGAATGATCCAAATTATTGTCTCTATAATTAGAATTAATATCTAAAGAAGAAATATTAATCATTAAGACATTCTCATGAGGTGAAGAGCAAAGCTACTGATAAATGTCATTAGGTCTAACATACCCTTAAATATGCTAAGTAATCATTACATTTGAAACTAAGGTTATTTTCCTACAAAAAAAATTATTTTGATAAAATAGATAATAATTATTACAACAAACTATAACCCTCTCAAAATAAGCATTTGGTATTTATAAGAGGTGATATCTTAATGATTTGTAAACCTTCGATGCTTCTGTAATATTAGGGGTGTCAATATTTGACACGACGCGAAAATCCGATCTGAACCCGACCCATTTTCAAAACAGGTCAGGTTCGGGTTCCCGAATTCGACCCGTTTGAAAAACGGGTCAGGTTCAGGTTGCAGGGTTGCCGGGTCAACCTGAAAACCCGTTTAAAATGACTGCCCGAAGACCTGCCCGTGCTCCCGCCGAAGCCGCTCGCGCCCTGCCAGCACACGATAGCTTGCCCGCTGCGGCTACCTGCGCGCATTCATGCCCGAGCACCTGCCTGCGCGGCCATAATAAATGAAGCCCTCAAATGGGACTCATTTGGGAAATTCACAAGAGAACTTGCCTGAAATGACAAGATTGTTCAACTATAGTTAGCAATGCTCGAATGAGTGACACATGCTAGTCATTTCGAGAGGGTTTTATTGTGAGTTCTAGTTGAGTTCCCCAAACAGGCTTCTTCTGAGGGTCATCTACGTCCTAAATATCGGTAAAGACTTATGTAAGTATACAATATGTTAATTTATATTTTCATATAAATATAAATAGAAAATAGTTACTATGATGTCAAAGCACTATTAAATAAGAAAAAAAATGTATAAATTGAAAAACAAAATATATCATGATATCTTGTTAAATTATTGAATTTGCTTTATATATATATATATATAATGCAGCACAAATTTTAAAATAAATATGATAAAATTTTAAAATATCAGTATAATTTATATTAGAATATTATGTTTTATATAAATAATGAGTTTTTTATCTCTCTTATCAAAGAGGTGAGGCACATTAAAGGGGAATAAAATTGACCATTTATATATCGACATTATAAAATGCTTAAATATTAAATTTCAGGCAATTTAACTTTTCTTTTGTCTTTATTTGTAGCTATACAATATTTTAAATTTAGTTGATATCTACTTAATAATTTTTATCAGCTTAAATTGGACAAAATTTCACCATCTGATGGTCGATGTTCAGTTGAGTGACTTACGAGCATTTGGGCTTTCTTCCTCCTCCCAAACTCCTCCGCCACTTGACGACCGGCTTTCCAATTTAGTAAATTATAACTTTAAAATCAATGAAAGCTCCACAATCCTATGAAAAAACAAAAAGAAAATAGTGTAAGTTAAAATAGAATGAAGTTACAAATAAAGGCGGTGTATTTGAAATATTTAAAGTTATTTAGATGGATATATGATAAATGCAAAGTGATTTCTTTTTATTGAGATAAAATGCATACAGTATAAAGTTCAACGATGATGATGTCTGATGTTAATTCTGTGTGGAATATGTTTGTGCTAATCAATCAAGTAATAATATTGACTCGGACCTCAATTTCGTCGGTTGAGCTCAACGAGGGGTCTCCCTCAGCTTAGGGTTCGAGTGTGTTGTGCTGCAGGTACAATCATACAGATATGTAGCACAGTACATTATAGCTCTGCAGCGTTGTACACTCATTCGTTGATGTGTCACAAGTTGTGTGGCGGCGTTGAAATCTTGACTTGAAGATAGAGAGTAGAGCACTGCACGTCAAGTTGGGCAATTTTCCTTCTCATTTTTTTATATTTAACTTGAAGGGCTGCATCTCTTCATGTTGCAGAAGCACATATCTTTGTTTGTTTTGAGAGAGAATGGTGTGAATAAGTAAAGTGAAACAATGGAATAGTGAGAAAGAAAGAGATTTGTACAATTAATCCCTATTTGTATAGTAAATTTCTAGAAATGGTATGGTTCCATGGTTTTTTCCCGATTTCAAATTTTTACAAATTAAATCATGGTTCTGATTTTCGCTAGTTTCTTTTCTTGTTGTTTCATTGTGTGGTTTACTTCCCAACATAGAATAGCCAATGGTGGCAGTGGTGACTAGCAGCCGGCATCTACTAGCTCGGGGCAATGGTTAGTAGCGACTGACGACAATGCCAAAAAAATTATAATATATTTAAAAATTGGTCAAATCTAAATATTTTTAAAAACACCGAAATTGAATTAGAGAAGAAATTCTAAATACTTCAAAATTTTACTATGCATTTCTTTTACTTCAAATCAAACACCATTATTTTCAAAATTCATGCATTTGAAGTACTTTGCATCTATTTTTCTTCAAACCAAATAACCCCCAAGAAAGACTATCTGAACTTAAAAAAATTTAAATTTGCATTTATATTAGAATAGTTTTCACATTTAGGCTTCATTTAGGGCGACTTTCTTAAGAAGCAATAAAAAAATCATCCTAAATGAAGCTTTAATGGTCATCATATGCATATAAACTTAGGATTTGTTTGAGACAAATTTCTTTCCGTTGCTTTTCAGATTGCCACCAAAGTTTCTTTTGGCTGCTATTTTCTCTTTGATTTTCAAAAGTTTTGGTAGTTGGAAGCTACTTTTTACAACCAAAAAAGCAATTAATTTGTGCTAGCTTTAAAAAATTCTCTATTCAATTTTTAAAAAAGTGTACATTTATAATATCAATTGGGCCTTTAAAAATATTATTTTTCCCACATGATTTTTTTCAAATACTTTTAAAAATCATTGCAACTATATCAAACAAACCCTTAATGTAATATATAAATATAAACTCATAAAATAAATATTTAATAACTCAAAGTTGAATTGATTTACAATTACAAACACATTCCTTAATCCTTTGGTAAAATTTGAGTAAAAATGATATTAAATTAATCTTAGAATGAATTAGAAGTTATATTTTCAACCCTAATATAATAATATGTAACAAATTAGTAAACATAATAATTTTTTAAATATTGAGGGCTAAAATATAAATTTAATATAAACTATTTTCATTGATAATAAATTACAATATCTTTATCAATAAAAAATTAATACAAACCTTTCGTCTAAAATTTATTAAACTATGAGAGCTTATTATAAAATTCCAATGGACAACTTTCCAATCTTTTCACGTTGAATTATTACACTCGTATGAGCTATGGCGACGCAGAATCGGCCGTGTGGAACCCACGGTTTTGGTCACCTGACCGTGGGGCCCCCGGTCGGCGCCGTGACCGCCGGCGGCGGCGGCTGCGATGATTCTGCGTGGGGTGTGGAGCACGGCGGAGTCGGCCGTCTCCACCGCACTGCAAGTGAGGAAATTGCGTAAGAGGTAAGACGCCCTCCACGAATACCTCCGGCCGCCAGCGACTATGGCCGGGGATTTCCCTAGGTCTTCCACTTTTTCCTTAGGAAGCGGTTCCTCATCCGGAGTCTTCAGGGCCGTGGAGACGCTGTCGACGACGAAAAGTTCGTCCTTCTCCGGCGAAGTGTCCACTTCTGCGGCAGATTCAGGTAAGGATTTAGGTGCAGTGAATTAAATCTTGAGTTCAAATTGAGAACTAGAAGATGGTTTCTAACTTTCATTTGAACTGATCGAAGTCTTATGGTCCGTTTGGGAAGGCTTATATTTATGAAAGTGATTTTAAGATTATTATAGTAAAAATAAATTTTTTAAGTTGCGGTAAAAAATAGATTCTTCTTAGAGAAATTTTATGCAACAACAACAAAAACAATATCAAGCCTTTGACTAAATAGGTGGGTGGGCTACATGAATCTTTTTTCTTCATTGTGTCATGTTAAAAATAAAATTTTCATTTAAATATAATAAATAAATATCATTTTTAATATTTTCTAACCAAGTATTTTTAGGTCTACCTCTACTTTTCTAACCGAATCCTCGGAAGGCCACCATTTTATGTGGCCAAACCATCTAAGACGACTCTCCCAAATTATATCTTCCACTAGTGCTACTCCAACCTTTTCACGTATATGCTTATTACGTATCCTATCTCTAAAAATAAAGACACTCATCCACTTGAGCATCCTCATCTCTTCAACACTTAACTTAGTATTATGCTTCTCTTTTAATGGCCAACATTCGGCACTATAAAGCATTGAGTAGAAAAAGTTTATGATAATGAAAAAAAATTAGGGGTGAAATGATGATTAAGGCCTGAAAAATAAATTAATAAGAAAATTATCTCAAATGAAGACTTAGTGATTTTAGCTGACATCAACTACGATGTTGACTTGTTATTTTTAATAGAAAGTTGAAATTTTTGTCAATGAAGTTTTAATTATTTATCAAAATAATATTTAAATTAATTTTTCAAACTAATTTGTATGTCAGTGACGATTAAATTATTAAAAACAATTAACAAATCATTACAAATTTTGTTTTTATTATTGCAATATTCAAAATATATTTGAAAGCTATTTTAATAAGGACAATTTTATACACATCAATTATCATTTAATTCTTCGCTTATTTACATAGTAATATCATCCTACTTTAATTCATCAAATTTCTATCCAAATATCAAAATATACAATCAAATTCAATACTGAAACCGACCGTTGAGAAACCATAGTATATTACCCGGGAAGGGAAAGAAATCCGATTTGGATTCGGCATCAGTGGCGGTGGTGGTGGTGGTGGGGACGGCGACGGCGGCCTCTGCTGGGAAAGAAGATGCGCTGATGTGAAGAGATCCCAAAAGAACGTATTCATAGTTGGAGATTGGAGTGATAAGATCGTCATCCACTAAATCCTGCCACACGAATCCCTCTTTATATCGCCTGCATCAGTTCAATTCCTTCCAGTTAGTCGATTCAATCTCCCTTTCCGCAGCGACAAACCAGAAAAAGAGAAAGAAACCAGAGAGAGAGAAAGAGAGGATTGATTACCTCTGGTAGGACCAAGTGAAGGAATCGGGCATCTCTTTTCCTCTCAATTCGGAAAGCCATCTCTTCACATCTGCATGCCGATCGAATTCTGGTTAGCCATGGAAAGTAAAGAAGACAGAGCAGGGGGTTGCAGAAAGAGATCAGAGGAAGGGAGTGAAAGATTGGATTTTTACCACGAAGGTGAACGCCGGAGTGGCAGAAATGGTGTATGCGGATGAGATGAGGGTGTTCTATGTGGCCGTTACGGTTAAGGAAGTAGATCACGTTTGCTCTCCTCGCTTCTGCGCTTCTCCTCTTCAAAGGATCCATGGCTGCCTTCTCGGCTCTCCCACCATCACCGTCTCTTATATAAGCGCCATCTTATGTTAGGGTATTAAAGAAAAAAAAAAAACTAATTACTCTAATTATAATCTACTTATTACATTAATACCCTAACATAATTTTATAAGTAGTTATTGTGAAAATTAGTTTTTTTTTTAATTATTAGGTTACATTTTTTTTTTAAATTAATATCAACTTTGTTATAGTTATCACACTATGACACATATGATTGTAAAACATATTATCATTATAAAAAAAATTTAAAAAAAAAATCTAGACGGGATGAATGACATCAATTTAAAAAAGAAAAGCATTGAAAATAAAAATCCTGAATGAACTCTAACGCTTTGTTTGGGATGGCTATTTTACTGCTTCTTGAAGCAACTTTTTAGTACAATTTTTTTTTTAATTTTTAACTTAAAAGTTGCTTAAAGAAGCAGTAAAAAAGCCATCACAAACGAAGCCTGAGACTTCGTATGGGACGGCTTTCTTTTTGCTTCTTAAAGAAGCTTCATAGTACAAAAATAAATGCTTTAAGAAGCAAAAAGAAAGCTGTCCCAGACGAAGTCTTAGGCTTCGTTTAGGACTGATTTTTTTACTGCTTTGTAAAACTGTTTATTAGTACAAAAATCTCTTGAAAGTAAGTGATACGTCATCACAAAATTAGCTTGATCGGGCACGAATCTCGAGGCAAAAGTTAGTTGAAAACCTCAAAAATTAAATCCGGGAGCACCTGAACTCCGATTTCAGCGAGCTTACAATCAAACTGAACGTCTCGGAAATACAAACCCAACGACACCAAGATCAACCCAATCCGAGCCCAAATGAGTCTGAATCAAGGGCTCAAAGTGCTGTCGGAAGGTTCAAACAGCAATTTGAGTTACCAAACGTTCTTCGATTTTTATGAGCTTATACTCGAATCGAACAGCTCGACGAGACGAATCCAACGAGCCCAAGATCGTTGAATTCAGACATCATTAAGGCTTCCAAATGGCCAACGAACGGTGCATGGTCGTAGGATTCAATATCGGCCGTCCATTTGACCACTCCCTATTCGCCCCTGATCTCACGCCTATTTACGGGCCATGCCACTCCAGAAAATCTATAAATAGAGCCCTCATTCTTCACAAGAAAGGATCCAAGCAAGAGAGAGAAGAAGAGAAGAGAAGGAAGGAGTTCCTCCTCGACAGCCGCCGGACCACCGCCGGACCACCGCAGAACCTCGCCGGACCACCGCAGGAATCTCGTCGGACCACCGCCGGACCACCGCAGGAACCTCGCCGGACCACCACAAAAATCTATATGATGTATATTTGCTACATCAATCCAAGGCCTTCTCCCAAGGAAGGGCCTCATTTGTAATCGAGTACAAATACTAGTGGATTCATTCAAACTGGGCCAGGCCCCGTGGTTTTTCCCCCTTTTAGGGGTTTTCCACGGAAAAAACTCTGGTGTCTCTTATGAATGCTACACCCTCTCACTTATCTGCTTGTGTGCTGGATCTTCGTACAATGCTAAGACATTAAACTAAATATTTCTCTACCGCCGCGAATACTCCAGGACGCAACAGTAAGAAAAAAATAATGGTCTAAAACTGTTTCAAATAAAGCCTAAATCTCACATTTAAAAAAAAATGAGGAAATGATCCAAATACTAAAACCTAACTATATAAGATAGTTTTATTGTAATAATTAAATATTCATCAGGTAATTTAAGTGTAATCGTGCTCAAGCACCCTAAGATTAGTAATCTCCTACGAAGTTACGTAATGAATATTGAAATCATGAGATTAAGGCTTCGATGGGACGGCTTTTTTATTGCTTTTTAAAACGGGATTTTAGTACAAAAATAAAAAATTTTGTACTAAAACTCCATTTTATAAAGCAGTAAAAAAGCCGTCCCAAACGAAGCCTAAAGAATTTCTTTTGACCACTAATTTTTATTTGGTCATTATTTATTCATCACTTTAAATAAAATTTTAAACTACAAACCCGCTTTCTACAACAACTTTCAAAAAAGCTGCTTTCTTTACAACAGCTTTATAACCTCCACCTTTATAAAAAATTGTTGTCGCCCCAAACGAACCCTAAGTATAATATATATTGGACTAGATCAATGTGGGCAATACATGATTATTACACCTAATATTTTAATTGAATTTAGAATTATGCCATATTTTAATTGAATTAAGCATATAACAACTGAGTGATCACTTGCAATCAACATTGAAAGTTCATGGATGCTTAACGATAAGTCTAAAATTTGTAAGAGGGTCAGTTCAAGCTTGTTAGAGTCTTTGAAGATAGTAGGAATCAATAGATTGTTTTGGTTTGTAATCTTATAGCTTTGGCTCAAAGCTTCATATATACTAAAATTCAATTCAATTTATCAAAATAGTTTTTAAATAGAAAAATATATTTGAATTTTCCTCTAACAAATCTTGTAAAATTTTCAGGCCAATACTACTTCAGTTATTACCTTAAATTCATTTTTATGATTAAAATGTTTTTTAAATTATAATTATTTTATATATTTGATATTGAAGCTTAGCTAATTAATTCCAAACCCCTCCACGATTTCAAATCTTCCAATCTGGAACGAGTCGGCTCGAATTCGACTCGTTAACTAGCTTGTGAGCCGAGTTTATCGAGTGTCGAGCTAGAGCTCGAGCACGATTTCGAGGTCATTGTATTATTGAGGTCGAGTTCGATCGAGAAGATGCTCGGCTCAATTACGTGTAGAGTAGCTCGAGTGTGAAAGCGGAACTATGAAAGTCGAAGGCGAAAGGCGAAACCACTGGGGCGGGCTTGGTCGCGGAAGGCTGAAGAGGAAGTGGGTCGAGGACTCGAAATCAGTACGTCTTGCAAGATGGCTCAGAAGTCGGCATCCACTGCCACTAGGCGAGCTTGAGCTCTTCTCGAATTCAAGCTCATGATTTGACTTAGGATGACTCGAGCTCGATTATGCTCGTTTACTCCTAATTGATCGATTTCACCTTTTTCTCCCATCTCAAAGATCATCTAAGTACTACCATTTTCTTATTTACCTTTTTAACTACCAATCGTTCATATAGTTTTTATTATTATTATTATTATTTTTTTTTTAATTTTCAGTCCGTCGATTATCTTTTGCTTAATTTTAAGGCTTCGAAATCTTCGAAGGGCTGGGTTGAGCCGTTGAGGACAGTAAGGGAGGAAAAATCTTTCAAGCGATTTTGACTGGCGCATTAAAGATTGAGTCAAGCTTTAATATTATAATTAACTAGACTAATTAGTACATATGGAGGAAATTAGCGGGCCTGCAAATGCTGTGCATAAAAATGATTAGGACTTAAATGATGGATTAATCATTAGATTATTATAATAAATTGCAGCGAGATCCAGCTTGTGTAGAACGGATCCAGGAAGTGACAATTTGGTTCATTTGATTTCTTCATTAGAAATGATAGGTTTTAATCTTTAATCTGGTTTTCTTAATCCATATTGTGTGACTTAAACATGTTTTAAACAATTTTTATTTATATAAAAATATGATTAAGAGATTATTATCTTTACTCGCGGAGGCATTAGAGTTCTAAAACTATTACTAGATATTCACAACCTAGGCTTCTTATTTGGGACAAGTTTATTATCACTTTTTTTTTAACAGTTTTTTAGGAAAAAAATTAAAATTAAAAAAGAAAAAAACTGTTTTAAGAAGCATTAAAAAATCTTTTTTATACTCTATATTAATTTTTTGTTAAATAATTAATAATTAAAGGAAATTATATTAAACCACTAAAATTTTTAAATTAAAATCTTCAGTGATATATTAATTCAAAAAATAGTTATTATTCTTTATTATTATCCAATTTAAATTATATTAATTTTTATTTTAAATTAACCTAAAAAAGTAATTATTCATAAAAAGTATTTAAAATAAAAAATTACTCAAGTTTCTCTCATCCTAAATTAAGAGTTAACTTAATTTAAATAAAATGTTAAAATAAATTCTACAGAATGTTTACTATTATATATAATATTAAAATAAAAGACATTCAAATAAAATATTAAATTCCGGTTATTAAAAACCGGAAAAAAGTTTTCGGGTTTCTAACTGAAACCGGAAAAATTCCTGTTTCTAATAACCGAACAAATTATTATTTTTTATAATAAATTATTTTTAATAATTTGATTTTTTGAGAAATCGGAAAATCATTTTTTGGTTTCAACAAACTATGATTTAATTTTCAGGTTTCTAAAAACTAGTAAAATGAAATTTCCTTTTGATTCTACTTCTATACCTAATTTTAATTAATAATTTGTTCCTTTTTAAAATTTTGCCTAATTAAAATGTGAAAGAAAAATTATGACATCGTTGTGCACTATGAAAAATTATTCTGTGCGGAATATGGACGTTGTTGAGAGACCAACAAAAATGTGTGACATCACCTCAAAAGTGTACTGTGCTAGATATTGAGTACGGTACTATACTCCGTACCGAATGCGATACCAACGCTCGGACAGTTCTCGATGTCCGTTCAGAATAATCTCTCTTGCACTACATTGATATGGCCCGGATTGGCTTCAGTTCTGATGTGGTGTATCATGGTTCCGCGTGACAGCTCAACGGACCATCATGCCGTATAACTACCTATGACCTCCACTTTCGCTGCTTTAGTAATTCCGCATATTTTTTGTTTTCTGCCAGGCGCCAGCTAGTGGCCAGCCAGCTCTGCATTTTCATTTTATTAGTTGTTTCCTTAATATATGTAGTGTAAAAGAGATGGAAAAGAGGTAGAGATGAATATACTTATATCTGAAAACTTCTCCACCTACCTCTAAACTTCTTCTTCTTCCCTCTTCCCTCTTTGCTTCCATGTTTTCTCTATTATCTTTGTTTTCTTGCAAGTTATCCGGTTTCCACACCATTTGGTATCAGAGCTCGGTATCGAGCTTAATGGCGGAAGGAAGAAAACGTCCAGCGGTCGAGGAGGATCGTAGCTTGGATGCAATGTGGGCGACGCAAGCAGACAATGTTCGCTGGCTGGAAACACTTACCACGGAGTTCTTCCGATTCTCTGCGGAGATGAAGACCGAGATTCGATCCCTTAGGACGAATCGAACACAACAAACGGTTGGCAGAACAGTTCTGCCGGCAATTACACCGGCACTGCGTCCTCACCTGGGCCGTCGACTCCACACCATTCCGGCGATCTCGGACTCAGATGACGACGCCGAATGGCAGCAGCCGTTGGAAGCATCTGATTCAGCGGAAGAGGACAGAGCCAATTATTATGAGCAACCCCGCAGGCACCTAGCTCCACAGCGTCAACAAGGCGAATTCCGTATCAAGTTGGACATTCCTTTCTTTGACGGACGCCAGCACATTGAAGATTACCTGGATTGGGAGCGAGCCGTTGAAGCCTTCTTCGACTATATGGAGATTGCACCCAAAAAATAGGTCAAGTATGTGGCCTGTCGACTGAAGGTGGAGTTGGAGCATGGTGGATGCAACTTCTACAAGCTCGAAGGCGAGAAGGCAAGGGGAATGTCACTAGTTGGTACCGAATGAAGAGATTGTTGAGAGGGCATTTCCTACCTACCAACTTTGAGCAAATGCTCTATCTTCAATACCAACACTGCTCGCAAGGTAATAGGACCGTGAGCGAGTACACGGAGGAGTTTTACAGGCTGAGTGCTTGAAATAATCTGAGCGAATTCGAGGCTCAATTAGTGGAGCGTTACATAGGAGGTCTCCGAGAAGCCATCCAGGATAAGCTTGAGATGAATTATGTATAGACACTGTCGCAAGCAGTGAATTATGCCCTGAAAGTTGAAATTCAACTTAACAGACATACTAAAAGCAGCGGCACCCGCCGTTACAACGCAGAGCATAGTGGAGAGGTAAATAAACCGCACAGTTTGAGTGGAAACAAGCCAGCAACTCCTTCCCCTGCGGCGCGGTTATACTGGGCGTCGAACCGAGACCTCCAGTTGCTGTGCGATCGAGATTTCCAGCTCGGGATGCTAACCCGTATGTAAAACCAACCACGCTCAAGTGCTACCGCTGCTTCCAACCTTGACATAAGTCCAATAATTATCCCAACCGGCAGTAGATTCAATTGCTTGAAGGGGAGGCCGAGGATGATCATCATAATGCCGAGCTTCAAGATTTCGAACGAACAAGATTTCGAAGATCTTCAAGCAGATGATGGGGAACCCGTAGCATGTGTCCTGCAGAAGCTCCTAATAGGCTAATAGCACCCCGCCAAACCAACAACTCCCGACGACATTCCATATTTCTTATCCATTGTACAATCAATGGGAATGTTTGCGACGTTTTGATTGATAATGGCTGTACCGAGAACATCATATCTCGGTCGGTAGTACATAAATTGCATCTTAAAACGACACGCAATCCAAATCCTTATAAGATAAGCTGGGTGAAAAAGGAGTAGAGATTGCTGTGTCTGAAATGTGCCGAGTAACATTCTCAGTTGGGAAGAGTTATGTGTGTGAGGTCCTGTGCAATGTCCTAGACATGGATATCTGTCACTTGATACTCGGACGACCATGGAAATTCGATGTGGGAGCTGTACATGATGGGCGCGCAAACACTTACTCCTTCGAGTGGAAACATCGCAAAATTCGGCTACTCTCGCACTCCGCCAGTGATAGTGACAAAGGAACTCCTGAGAGTTCTGCAATGTACATTGTATCTGGCCAAACCATTATCGACTCCTGGAAAGAATCGTCCCTAATGTGGGCTCTTGTTGCGGCATCAGCTAACTCCATCAGTCAGCGGTCGGAGTTACCCACTGCTATCAGTGATATCCTGAATAAGTATCATGATGTTTGGCCAGCAGAACTGTCGAATAAACTTCCCCCTTTGAGGAATTTGTAGCACCAGATTGATTTACAGCCTGGGACTAATTTGCCGAATCTACCTCATTATAAAATGAGTCCCCTGGAGCATACAACATTACAGAACATCGTCGACGGGCTACTTCAGAAACAGCTTATTTAACCAAGTCTCAGTCCGTGCGTCGTCCCGGCCCTGCTCGTGCCGAAGAAAGATGGTAGCTGGCGCATGTGCGTTGATAGTCAGGCTATCAACAAGATCACCGTTAAGTACCGCTTCCCGGTACCTTGCTTGGAAGACATGCTCGATAAACTGGCAGGCGCCATCGTGCTCTCCAAATTGGACTTGAGGAACGGATACCACCAAATACGAATGCGGCCCGGCGATGAGTGGAAGACCGCTTTCAAGACCATAAATGGCCTATTCGAGTGGCAGGTCATGCCTTTTGGGCTTTGCAATGCCCCCGTAACGTTCATGCGACTCATGAACAAAATTCTGAAGCCTGTTCTCAAGAAGTATTGTGTCGTTTACTTCGATGACATACTTGTTTATAGCAAGTCATTGTCCGATCACCGCCTCCACCTTTCTAGTATTTTTGAGATTTTAAGAGAGCATCAGCTCTACATTAATTTTCCTAAATGCGAATTTGCTACAAGAGAAGTTCACTTTCTCGGATTCGTTGTCTCCAGCAAAGGCGTGCTCATGGATCCACAGAAAGTCTTAGCCATCACGGAGTGGCCAACACCGTGGTCAATTACTAAAGTTCGTAGCTTCATTGGCCTTGCCAACTTCTACTGCCGCTTCATCAAAGGTTTCAGCATAATCGTGGCCCCAATTACGAATTGCCTCAAAGATAAAACCTTGCAGTGGACTCAAGACCAGAAGCACAGCTTCAATACCATTAAGGCGGCCTTGACATCCGCCCCCGTATTGGCAATTCCAGACTTCAACAAGCCATTTCACATTGATACGGATGCTTCAGCCGTAGGAGTGGGCGCAATCCTTTCACAGGAGGAGCGGCCGATCGAATTTTTCAGTGAAAAGTTGAGCCCTGCACATCAAAAATGGTCCGCTAACGAGCAGGAATTGTATGCTTTTGTTCGCTCATTGAAGTAGTGGGAGCACTACCTCCTACACCAAGATTTCGTCTTGAGCAGCGACAACCATGCCCTTCAATTCATTAACAGTAAAAAGACTATGAACAAGATTCACGCGAGGTGGTTGACATTTTTACAAAGATTCAGCTTTGTACTGAAGCACAAATCTGGAGCAAAAAATCGTGTGGCGGATGCTCTTAGCCACCTCACCATTTTGGTGACCAAGCTGTAGGTTGACACTCCGGGATTGGAGACATTACAAGACTTGTACTCAACGGATCATGATTTCTCTAAACCTTGGAGGAACTTGTCCAGCGCCTCGCCAACGCCCTTCCATGAGTACTCTATTCGACACAATTTTCTGTTTAAAGGCCCCGCCTTGTGCGTGCCTGCTTCTTCCTGGCGAGAGCATCTAATCAAAGAGCTGCATATCGGTCGGCTAGCAGCACACTTGGGCAAATCCAAGACATTGGAACAGCTACATAGTCGATTCTATTGGCCTCACCTACATCGGGATGTCACTCGTTTTGTCGAGCGGTGCCCAATCTACCAAATCTATAAGGGAAATGCTCAGAATACGGGTTTTTATACGCCCTTGCCAGTGCCGAACTCAATATGGGAGGATTTAAGCATAGATTTCGTATTGGGTTTACCGCGGACGAAGCACGGTGCAGACTCAATCATGGTCGTCGTCGACCAATTCTCGAAGAGGGCACATTTTCTAGCATGTAAGAAAACTTTTGATGCTCTCAACGTCGCCATCCTCTTCTTTAAGGAAATTGTCCGATTGCACGGCCTTCCCCGCAACATAACCTCTGATCGCAATGTAAAATTTGTCAGTCATTTTTGGCGGGAACTCTGGAAGCGACTGCGGACTGAAATCAAATTGAGTTATGCATATCATCCGCAGACTGATGGGCAGACAGAGGTCGTGAACCGAACCCTGGATAACATGTTGCGTTGCCTTGCTTATGAACACCCTAAATAGTGGGATGATTACCTCGGACAGGCAGAATTTGCGTACAATGCAATATCCAACTGATCCACTGGACAATGCCCATTCAGCATTGTCTATACTAAATGCCCAAACCATGTGATAGATATCGCAATCCTTCCACAGTGCAAGAGCAAAACTGTCGCCAATACTACTGAGATCTATACCAAGTTGCTACAAGATGTCAGAGATAAACTTGAAACAGCTAATGAGCAATACAAGCAACAAGCCGATCTTCACTGGAGAGAGCAAATTTTCCATCCCGGCGATCTTGTCATGGTTCGCCTTCCCAAAGAAAGGTTCCCCCCTGGAACATATTCCAAGCTCAGTCCAAAGAAGATTGGACCAGTCCCAATTCTCCGGCGCATCAACAACAACGCATAGATCATGGATCTTCTGCCGATGTACCTCACACCTTCTACTTTCAATGTATATGATATCTTTGCTTATAAAACTCCTAATGCGGCGGTCATTCAATCTAATTCCTCAGGCGATGAATCTCCGGCAGACAGGGAGACCTGATGTGGTGTATCATGGTTCCACGTGACAGCTCAACACCATCATGCCGTATAACTACCTACGACCTCCGCTTTCGCTTCTTTAGTAATTCCGCATATTTTCTGCTTTCTGCCAGGCGCCAGCTAGTGGCCAGCCAGCTCAGCATTTTCATTTTATTAGTTATTTCCTTAATATATGTAGTGTATAAGAGATGGAAAAGAGGTAGAGATGAATATACTGATATCTGAAAATTTCTCCACCTACCTCTAAACTTCTGCTTCTTCCCTCTTCCCTCTTTGCTTCCCCTGTTTTCTCTATTATCTTTGTTTTCTTGCGGGTTATCCGGTTTCCACACCAAGTTCGGGTTTAGCCCGGCCCATTCATTGAACCATATTTATCTGAAACCTTTACCGTACTTCAACTTCCCAGACTTCACTCAATACAGTTTTCTTCCGATTGCTCCCTGCAACGGTCGCTTAATCCTACTTCCAAATCCGGCTATGACCGCAGCTGGTTCAGCTTTCTCCCTCTTACTCGAATCCCTTAACGTATGTCCTCCTTTCCTTCACAAAACCCCCAAACTTCGCCGAACACTATCCGCAGTATGCGCCGCGAAGGAACGATACATGGATGCCGAAACCATGAACCCTTCCCGCCCTATTAAACGCCCTAATCGAAGAAAACCGAGCTCTTATGGAACCTCCCGGAGATCAGCTATGAAAAAGAGCTTCTCACAGGAACAAGTATACTTCACCACCCCCGTTTCCCACAACCCTTCAATCGCAATCATCGGCGGTGGCCTCTCGGGCCTACTCTGCGCCGCTACTCTCGAGGAGAGGGGCATTCGATCTACTGTATTCGACACCGGAATTCATGGCTTGGGAGGTCGAATGGCAACAAGGGCAGTGGTCGAATCCCAGCAAAAACTGGTATTTGATCACGCAGCTCAGTTCTTTACTGCTTGCGACGCGAGATTTCAGAATCTGGTTAATAGGTGGGTATCCGAAGGATTGGTTCTTGAATGGAAGGGCACGATTGGAGAGCTTGAAGCTGGTGGACGATTTACCCCAATCCAAAGCTCTACTACAAAGTATATTGGCATCGACGGTATGCGTCCACTTGCAGATTCAATTCATAAAGGTACTAACTTGGTTGAGATTACTCGACCTTGCTGGATCAGCAAGCTCGAACCTTGCAATGGGATGTGGCACTTGAGTGAGAACGAAAAGAACCGTGGTTCATTTGATGCAATTGTTATTGCTCATAATGGAAAATGTGCAAACCGCCTGCTTTCTTCTTCAGGTTTGCCACAGCTCTTCAGGCAGATGAAAAAGCTTGAGCTTAGTTCTATCTGGGCACTTCTTGCAGCATTCGAAGACCCACTACCTGTTCCTTTTGAGGGAGATTTTAATGCATTGGAAGGAGCCTTTGTGAAAAATATTGAATCTGTTTCATGGATGTGCAATAATACCAGTAAGCTTTTTCCTCTGCAGAGTAGTAATGGTGCCCATCAATGTTGGACCTTTTTTAGCACAGCTAGTTATGGGAGACGAAACAAGGTTCCACAGGAAAATATTCCTAATGTCACTGCGGAAAAGGTGAAGACAGAGATGCTTGATGGTGTAGAAGCTGCTCTTGGATTGTCTAAGGGATCGCTTCCCGAACCATTTTATACTAGAGTTCAATTGTGGGGTGCGGCTCTGCCAATAAACACACCTGGTGTTCCTTGTATCTTTGATCCTTATGGGCGTGCGGGCATTTGTGGTGACTGGTTACTTGGTTCAAGCATGGAAGCTGCTGCTTTGAGCGGAATATCATTGGGAAATCATATGGCAGATTTCTTCCAAGGTGGGGGGATTCATCTGGAAGAGTTTGCTGTTGGTTTGCATGAGGGATTTAAAGCTGTTTCTGGCTATGATATTGGCCATTTCCCAGGTTTGGATTCTGATAAGCAAGTTATCTGCGATTTTGAATGTGTTGCATGATATGGTGTTGCTATAGAATGAATTATGTTTAGAGATAAATTATTTTGTGCGGAGGCCGGATGCAAAACGTCGTCCGGAGATTAATCAGAATGCGCCATGTCGACAGCATCGAGCCACGGTACTGAGCAGTACTGAGCCGTTGTACCGAGCGAAGGGGTGACGTGGCGCATTCTGATTGACCTCCGGACGACGTTCAACATCCGCACATAATAATTAATCCATGTTTAGACATAGTTATTATTTTTTTCTTCTTTTTGGATGGCCATATGCAAACAGGTTATCAGTTTTGCGTAATGTACGCCACATAAAGGAATTTTCAGAAGGAAGACTTCGATTTTTCTGTTCCTTTGCATGAAAGGGGAAACGAGAAAAAGATGTGAGGGTGAGATTTTTTAATTTTTTAGTCTTTTGGGAATTGCAGCTCAGTATTAGATTTTTTTTTTTTTTGAAGGAGATGAGTTTATAGTGTATAATAACATGTATCTTTTGAGTTTGTTGTGTGATGGAATATTCATTACATATGAGAGAGAGACTAATAGGAAATATTCGAAGATTTCAAATAAATCCTATAAATTTTGGAAAAAAACAGCGAGAAAACTCTTCCAAACTCCAATGAAAACTAGAAAAACAGTAGTTTTTATTGCAATAATCAAAGATACATAAGGAAATACTAAGATACAGTAGATCCTCAATTCGAGAGGATGATCTATCTCTCCCAAATTTCTATACACCGTTAGAGCCCAAAAAAAATCTAAGATCTCAAATTCAAGATGCCCTAACCCTAGAAAAACAAACTATTTAATGCATACAATCCAAAAGAAATTCTATAAACAATCCTTACATTCAAATTTCCCTCCTTACTCCCTCAAAAATACTTCCTAAATAGTTTGTTTTGGATGTGGCAGATCGGTTGGCATGTACAGGAGAGACAGAAGAGCCCGCCTCTGTCTTTGTGAGCCGGTCCACTATGGACCGACTGGACCGGTCTAACAGAAACTTTGTCATTTTAATGTTGTATGTAAATTTTGCAAGCTCACAAATAAGTTGGGTGAACCAGATTAACTTGAAATAATACCATTTGTCTGAATTAAGGATCACAAAGGTAGCATTCCTTATACTTAGAGAAATTAATAATACAATATTATTAATATGAATCATGAAAATTATTTATTGTGATAGCACTAGATCATCATGGGTTGTCAACTTGGTTAAACGTTTAGTTACCAAAAAGGAAGATGAGCGTTAGATATCAATCATTTTCAGCCATTAGATGATAGTCAATAAAGAACATCAAAAACCTTGCAATAATTAGATTGGTCATCCTCCATGTAAGAAGAGAGATTGAGCAACATGTAAGATTAAAATTGAATGTTTGTGGTTGAAAAATGTAAGATGTTGATCCTTTGTAGGCTTTGAATGGCATTCAACAAGAACTGTTAGAAGCAAGCAATGACTGTTGGTTGACTTGGACATTCTCTTGTTTTTGGATAGAATATCATGTGAAATGATGAGCATCCAATATTAACCAGTCTTTGGTATGTGTTATGACGAGCATTAGGTATCAATCATTGGCAAACATCATATGACCATTTATTAAGAATGTTGGAAGTCAAACAATGCATCAGTTGTTCTTCTAATAAGAGAAGAGATCGAGCAACCATGAAGGCAGGCGTCGGCGTAAAGTGACAGTTGAAGTTGGGTGATGGAGATGACGGGAGTTAGTTAGGCGGTCGGGGTCAATTGATGGTGGCGGGCAGTGAGTTAATGTTGATCAATAGTCAGAGTTTGGCGGTGCCATCAATGTTTGTTGATGGTGAGCTTTGGGTAACATATGATAAAGCTCTAAAAATTCATAATTTTAGGAGTTTTAAGGTCTAAAAATTATGTATAATCAGAATAATTTTTTTTTTTATAGCGAATCAGTTGCACCTTTATTTTCAGATGTTAATGTCAATAAATCTGAAAATGCTCATGAATTTGAATTTTTTAAACTTAAAATCCCAATTTTATGAGGATTGGAAGGTGCGATCACTTCTTGAACGTTAGTGTGAACCTAATTTTATATTTATGAAGCAAATTACTCCCTTCTAATCAATTTCTTGGTTAGGATTTTAGAATCGAAGTTATTGAAAACTTCGGCACAAACTTCTCCAAAAAGTATTGGAAATCATATATAAAGGTTTTCTTTAGAAAGTGTCAAAATTTTGTCTCCAAATTAGAAAAAAATATTCTTAGGGGTTCCAAAATCTCTAAAAAAAAGGCATTTCCAGATCCATACAGTCGCAGGCGTGCTTAAACTGCTAGTTAGTGACATCGGTGGTTCCGTGGTTGCCTGCTTGGTTTTTGTCTGTTTTTTTTTTTAATGTCTTGCTATCCTTATTTATAAAACAATAAGATTTGCATGCTTTGAAATTTTTGAAAATCAGCTAAAATATTTCAAAAAAAAAAAAAAATCTTTCTTATTTTTGAGTTGAAAAACTACTTTCTCCAAAAACAATAACATCATCACCAGGCCCTAATTCAACTGTGAGGCTGACTATATGAATCATTTTCTTCATTGTGTACTATTAAGAGTCAAAAACTCATTTAAATCTAATAAAAGTTGTCATTTCTAATATTGTTTAGCCAAGTCTTTGTAGGTATTTTTCTACCTTTCTTAATGTAGGTTGGATCTAATACATATATTCTCCTAAAACAGTCCTATGAAGTTCGATATTTAATAATAAGCTCAGTACGGTCCTCCACTTCAACTATCCAATTTTGAATTCTACTAATAATATCCTCAGATGTTTCACCATCGTTTTGGGCAATAGACTCAATATATTTAAAATTAAACATGCACTCTTTTTAATGACTTGATCACTGAATGTCACAATCCTACCACTAAATTTATTAGTACTAAAATTACGCTTCATTTCTTCGGTTGTATATCTTCTCAAATGAAAATATTTGGACTATATAGTTGACGTTCATAATTCATGTTTTCCTTCAACCCCCTCTCCAATCTTCTCAAGAAGAAGAATATCATCAACAAAATGCATACACTAGGGTACATTTTCTTGCAAATTTCTGATAAGAGTATCCATGAATAAAGTAAAAAAGATAAGAGCTTAAAGCTGACCCTTGATGTAATCCAACTGGAATAGAAAAATATTTGGTCAAACCACCTTCTGTTTAAACACAAGTAACATGTCATGTATGAATATTCTTAATTACTTGAATATAAACTTTTTTAACTCCTTTCCTAAAACTCTGCATAGCACTTCTCTTGAAACTTTTTCATATGCATTCTCTAAATCAATAAATATCATGTGCATGTCCTCCTTACCCTCTATATACCTCCCCATCAAACTTCTAAACAAATGTATAACTTCCATAGTAAACCTACCAGGAATAAATTCATACTAATTTTGAGAAACATTAATATCACGTCATAACCTATTCTCAGTTATTCTCTCTCATAATTTTAATGTATAATTCCTTAACTTAATTCATCTATAATTCACACACTCTTACTCGTCACCTTTATTCTTAAATGTATGAACCAATACACTCATCCACTCATCTAGCATCTTTGTAGTCTTTAAAATAATATTAAAAAATAAGCTAATAATTTCTTTGATCTCCTAAGTATTTTTATATTTCTATTGAAATATCATGAGGCCTCATTGCTTTTTCACACTTCAATTTTTTTTAATCTCTCCAACTTCGATTTTATTAACACGATGATAAAAATAAATATCTTTGTTTTTATTTTGAGTGTTATGATTATTAAAGTCAATCGTATTCTCATAATTTTTATTAAAAAGCTTATCGAAATATCTCATCCAAAGTAAATCAAAAATATGATTTACTAATAATTATATCAAAAAGTAAAAATAGATTTTTAAATTTAGATTATCGTGACATGAGTATTTGAAAGTCTTATCATTTATTCTCAAAAAATTAAGCTCCGAAGAATGTCGATTTATCGGCATTATCAATATTATTATACGATCAATATATGTATAATCCTAAATCATATATACAATTTCAAAGATAATATATGTATATACTTTTTAAATCATCATGATTACTGCTAATAAAATTATATATAACGTTTGATTAAATAATCAATAGATTACATCATTAAAATTTATTATCATTAAATCAATACAACTAATTAAAGTTAATCTCTTTTTATAATCATGGTAAAAACTTTAGTCACATCTTCCCAATAATACTCATACTTTATATAAAAGTTGTCTTTAAATGGGATGCTTTATCTCTTTTTTTTTTTTAATACCAACTAAAATTAATATATAATCTTATTATTAATACATCATAAAAAAATTATCTTAATAGAGAAAAAATCTTGAGGCAAAATTAAGTTGGAAGCTTCAAAAATTAAAATTGAGACCATCCGAACTCTGATTTATGCAAACTTACAGTCAACTGAGTGTCTGGTATACACGAACCCAACGACACCAAAATTTGCCCAATATGAGCCCAAATGAGTCCAAATCAAAGACTCAAAGCACTTTTGGAAGGATCAAACAACAATTTAGACTACCAAACGGTCTCCAATCATGACATGCTTATATTCAAATCGAGCGGCTCGACGAGACGAATCCACAAGAGAGAAGAAGGAAGAGAAGGAAGAAAGCTCCAGCCGCCTAGCTCCTCTTCGACCACCGCCAGAGTTTTACCGCACCACTGCCGGAGTTCTACCGCACCACCGTCGAAGTTCTGTCGCACCATCACCAGGTTCTGCCGCACCATCGCCAAATCACCAAGGGACGCTGGAGTTCTATTGCACCAACGCTGGACCACCAAGAGACGCCAGAGTTCTGTCGAATCACCACCAGACCATCAAAGGACGTCGAAGTTCCACCCGAAGCTGGAGTGTCCCCTGACGCTGAAGTGTCATTGCCGGACAATTGCCTGGCATCGAAGTGTTGTCGGACCACCACCTGACGTTGGAGTAACAATGAACTTTTGTGAAACTTTCAGTTGACATTTGTAATCTGGTCGTCTTCAAGGACGAGTCAGACCATTATACTTTGCTCAAATTCTAGTTGAATCATTTTCAACTGGGCTAGGCCCCAGTGGTTTTTTCCCTTTCCCAGGTTTTCCACATAAAAAATATTGTGCTCTCTGTGTGTGAGCTGGATATCTGTGCAACGCTAAGACGTAGAATTATAACTTTATCACAACGTATATTTTAGCCCGCAACAATTATAAAAGAGATAATTACTACATTTCAAATTTCTAAATGCTTATGCACCACAAATTAAAGTGAAAGGAGAAATAACACGACTCATGATCTCAAGATAAATAATAATAAGCTAATAAGGCAAGCTCATCAAAAAGAAATTATTCTTAAATGATGGAGAATCATCCATTCACTAATCTTTTATATATTGCTGGCTAAGTGACCAAGAAGAAACAAGAAAGAGAGAGAGATACTGAAGAGATAGAGAGAGAGAGAGAGAGAGAGAGAGAGAGAGAGAGAGAGAGTTCTTCCCTGAAGCAGAGATGACTGAGAGTTGGAGTGAAAGATCAGTGGAGGAGAAAGAAAGCATGGGGTTTGCAGAGGATGATGGCCACACTCGGACAGGTTTATTTTCAGCAAACACTCTTCTTTGAATAGATAGTGTGCTTAATTTCAGTATATGCAGATATATTTGCAACAAAAACATTGCAAATAATCAAAGAGTTCAACTTTTCATTAATATTTAAGCTAAGCTTGCTAATGCTAATTACAAGCAATCTCTCTATATCTGCCACTCCTAATTTTCTCTAATTAAGAGTCATCATCATTAATCATACGTGTTTTCCCGTAGTGTACCAGAAAAAGAAATTGCATAACTCAAAACTCACACGAAAACTCCAAAAAGAAGTATTAGTTGGGTATAAGAGAGCATAACTAGAAATACCGATATAATCCTTAATGGTCCAAATCATAGTAAGAACAAAAGAAACCAGCAACATACCGAACAGGTACCAGAAATAGCCACCACAACACCAACCACAACAACAACCCCTCCAGGCCCTCCCATTCAAACCAAAACCAGAAAACCCAAAGCAATTCCAGTCAACCTCAAAGAAATTAACCTCCACAGAAAACGCACAGAGAAAGAATAACCCACCAGAGGAACAAACAATCTGGGAAACCACCAAATAACAAATGATCAGGATTTGCCCTTGTCTCCTTCTTCAAGTGTTGTAGCTCCTATTTCTCTGAACCCCTTGACTAGGGCTTAATGACTTTGACCTCAAGCCCAACTTCATCTCTTGTTGTTAGTCTTTGTCTTGTTTATTGTAAGTAGATCTTCGCTTCCACCATCATATCAGCATCTCCTTTCTATGATGTCACTCTAAGGATTTTCTCTACATCACATATGTTTCTGCACTTGGCTCCCTCCCAAGTGCTTATGTTTCACATCAAACTTTTTTAAGCCTCTATATATCCTTCTATGAGGCTCTATTTAGTGTTTCTCCTTCCCCTTCTCATTTGCATTAAAAAAATTGGCTCCTACTTTTAATGAGAAATTTAATGTCTTATAGTCAAATGAGAAGATTGGTCCACTAGATACACATTTTAAACACTCTTCAATGTGTAGCTTTTAGTTAGAAAGGCATGCTTTATTTATTATTCATTGTTTCATTGGTAATTTGGGGTTAAAATTTTGGTTCATATAATTAGTATTTTAGATCATTTATATGTGCTCAATAATCTTCAAAATAGTGGTGATTTTGCCTGAATTTTTTGACTTTTAATTATATTAATAAATGCATAATGAGCTCTCCTCAAATGGACTCATTTCTTTGATATCCATGGCCTACATTGCACTTTTTTGCATGGCATTTTTTTCATTGTTTCTTGAAGATAGACTAAGGCTTCGTTTGGGATTGTTTTATTGTTTCTTTCTAAAATAACTTTCTATTACAAAAATTTATAGTTCAAGAAATTTTGGTACTAAAAAACTGTTTTAAAAAATATTAACAAAGCCGTCCCAAATGAAGCCTAAGCTTATAAAGTCTACTATCTAAAACTTTTGATGCTCAAGTATTAGTTTTGGTGGACATATATAACTTGTAGCTTTAAGATCATCTATGTTTCAATTAATACATTAAAATTAAAATTGCAACAATCAAATAGGATCAATCTAATTTTTTAATTTTATAAAAAAAATGCTTAGTTGGAGAACACATCTGAAAGCAATAAGTACATCATCTCGTTTATTTCCCTTGATACTGCTTTATTTTCTATTATTTTTTTGGATCCACACACTCAAAGATGAATTTTTCTATGTTGTTAATAAATAAATATGAGAACTAGTCTCTCCTTTTTTTTTTTCTTTTTCTAAGTAATTATACCTAAATTAGCTTTATCGTTAAGGATATATTTTTTAATTATCATCCAAAATATTGAAAGTATTTGAGACTCATTTATTAAGGAGAATACTAATTATAAGAAAATTTTAAATGATATATTTTATTATTAATTTTCATTTTTTTTAAGTGAAAATGTTGGAGTAACTCTAATGTTAGATAAGATTAAGGCCAGAGTCGCCTTAGATGTTTGGTCACATAAAACATCGGTCTTTTGATGACTCACTTAGGAGATTAAAACTTCGTTTGGGATGACTTTCTTTCTGCTTCGTAAAAAAAATTTTAGTACAAAAACATTAATTTTTGAACTAAAAACTGCTTTAAAAAGCAATAAGAAAGCCGCCCCAAGCGAAACTTAAATGTATTAGAACTGTCCTATTTTAAGAAAGTTAGAGAAAAAACTAAAAGATTTGGTGAGAAAGTATTAAAAATGATCTTTTTATTAGATTTAAACAAGTATTTAACTTTTAATATGACACAATGGAGAAAAAGGATTCATGTAGCGGACCTCACGTGGTGGGATAAAGACTTGATCGATATTATTGTTGTTGCATTATTTTATTTTTTTTAAAAAAAATTAATCATCCAAAATATTAAATATTTTTCCTTAATTATAATGTGCTTTATGGCCTTCCATCAAAGTGGAAGAGGTTGGGAAGGCATCAAAGTGGGATTTGCTGAATGGATTCCACCTTAACAAAGATCATAAGTAGTTTTATTGACTCTTTTTCCTTACAACTTGAAGTGGTCTCATCCCTTTTTTTTTGTTTAACTTTTGTTCTTCCAATTATTTCTCTTAAATGAGGGTTTCATGTTAGCTTTTTGGCAAAAAAAGAAAAAAAAAAGTTGTAGTGATTGTTTAATTTTCATTTTATTGTGTGAAATTTAATTTATTTTTATAATTTAAATTCATTGTTTATTTTTTAATAATTACAATATTACTATGAAATATAACAAATTTACTTGTTTTTATTGTCAATTAATAAGTCTTAGCTAGAATCCAGCAATTAAGTTAAATTTAGGGCTTCTTTGATTGCTTATAGATAATAAATATATTTAAAAAATGATGATTTTATTTTGGACTAAATTTTTTGTGTAAATGAAATTTATATTTTTTTACAAATTTTGATGATGTATATTTAAATAATTAGTGATTTTTTTTTTGACTTTTTTTTTTCTAACTTCAAGCAAAAAATTGAGCCTTTGCATTCATTAGAAAATTATGGTTGCAATTTTGCAGTTTTTGTTATTTATTATTATTTTTTAAATATATAAAGTATTTTGATTGGAAATACAGTATCAATTTTTTTTATTACAGAAATAGCTTTACCTTAACCAACTTTTTTTTCTTATAGTAAAAGTTTTCAATGCTCTAGGGCTAATTTGGCTTTTTATATAAAAAGGGAGATTTACATACATACCACTTTATACTACTATAGTTATATATTTAACACCTAAAACTTTAATATTACTTATATACCACCCATAGTTCATTTTCTTATCAAATATGAGTGGTAGAAATGGAAATTTTGAGTGGTAGGAAGAAAATATGAGTGACATATTTGATATTAAAATAATATAGGGTGGTATGCATGTAATATTAAAGTTTTAGGTGTTAGATATGTAAATATGATAGTATAAAGTGGTATGTATGTAAAATTCCCAATATTGTTTTGTTATTCTGATTTTTTCATTTTAAATGTGAAATTAAAAGTATTATTTTAAATTTTTTTAAAAATTAAAATAAGACCTAATTATCTCTAATTAATCATAAATTTAAACTTTTTTTTTTGCACTTTAGCAACAGAATTAATCTTATCTTATATGCAAAAAAAGAGAAGATAATTAATTGTCTACAAAACTCTTCTTCAGGAACTGTATGGACTGCAACAGCACATGCGATTACAGCTATAATAGGCTCTGGTGTTCTTGCTTTGCCATGGAGTGTAGCTCAAATGGGATGGATACTTGGCCCCTTCACCCTTCTTGCTTGTGCAATCGTCACTTACTACACTGCAAATTTACTCAGCGATTGCTACAGAACTCCTGATCCTATTCATGGGAAGAGAAATCATACTTACATGGATGTAGTTAGTTCATGCTTAGGTAATTTTCCCTTCACATATTTGTCAATAAGAAAAGTTTAATAGAAAAAACCTAAGAAGAGTGTAGATGAAAAACCTAAATGGGATAAGCTCATGTATGGTAATGTTTGTAAAAGAAGCGTTTGGAAGTGATTGAAACATGCTTTTGAACGAAGGTTAAGCATTTATTTAGAACAGAATGGTTGGCTTTGAGTAGGGGTGTCAAAATCGGGTTTCGGTTTGGGTTCGTGTCGAACCCGGAACTTACCCCGATTCAAACAGGTCGACCCTAACCCTACCCAGTTATGTAAACGGATCGGAAATCGAGACCCAGACCCGACCCGTCATGTTACTGGGTTGACCTGACCCGACACGATTAACCAGAGGACGGCGATGGCGGGACAGCAAGATAGCGGACGGCGGGCAGGCTCTGGCGCATGCACCGGCGCGAGCGGGCTGCCTCGGGGGCTCACAGGCGGCCGCTGGCAGGCGCGGGCAGCCGCGGTCAGCTTCAGGCACAACGCGGGCGGGTGCGAGCAGGCTCGGGCGGGCGCGCGGGTCAATTGGAAATCCGAACCTGACCCATTTTGAAATCAGGTCAGGTCTAACCTGAAATTTTTGGGTCGGGCTCGAGTCCGAATTTCGTGTCGTGTCACCCTTAGCTTTGAGTTTCTTTTTTTATCATTTATCTTTCTCAGTAAATATGAGAAGTTTCAATTAAGCAAAACATCCCTAAAATTCAATTTGATAAATTTCCTAAAACATAGCTCAAACCACTGTCAAAATGCTTGCTTCTAAATATAGGACCTCGTAATGTCTTCCTCTGTGCCATTGCTCAGTATGCACTGCTATGGGGAACTATGGTTGGCTATGTCATCACTGCTGCAACAAGCATGATGTAAGTTCATTAATGTTCAATGTTGAAGATGAACAATTTTCTATTTTTTTAGCTATAATTCTACACATCAGTGATGAATTCACCTTTTTTTATTCATAAAATAGGGCAATTGATAGATCAAATTGCTTCCACTACAAAGGTCGCAATGCTCACTGCAACACATCAGGAAACTTGTATCTTATATTGTTTGGAATAGTTGAATTGGTCCTATCACAATTCCCAAACTTGGAGAAGATAACAGTAATCTCATTGATTGCAGCTGCAATGTCCTTTGCCTACTCTTTTATTTCACTCTTCTTGTGCATATTCAAATTAGCTTCCAACCACACCTTTCAAGGGACTATTCTGGGAGCTAAAATTGGTGGCACTGTGTCTCTGTCCACCAAGGTTTGGTATGCTTTCCAAGCACTTGGAAATATAGCATTTGCGTACACCTACTCCATGCTTTTGATAGAAATACAGGTATGACTACGGCTTCATTTGGGACGACTTTTTTTGCTGCTTCTTCAAGCGGCTTTTTAGTACAACAATTGTAATTTTTATACTAAAAAGTCTCTTTAAGAAGCAATAAAAAGTTGTCCCAAACGAAGCCTAAATTGCTTTCTACTTCTATGTATTTTTATAATGTATATATTTTGCAAAATCAACACACAACAATAATAATTTACAATAACACCACTCAAATCTCAAAAAGCATAATAAGTTCTCAACATGTATTTTTAATTTCACTAAATATGGAATGGTCTAACGTATTAGTTTTGCAAATAAACAGGTTTTTGATGAAATGTATCAGTCTCCCTTTTTCTTTTTGACATAAATGTGTGCAGGATACAATCAAAGCTCCACCTCCAGAAAACAAAACAATGAAGAGGGCTTCTCTTCATGGGATTGGTGTGACAACAATCTTCTATGTATCAGTAGGTTGCATTGGATATGCTGCATTTGGAAACAAAGCACCTGGCAATATTCTTACAGGGTTCTATGAACCATTTTGGCTGGTTGATATAGCTAATGTTGCAGTGATTGTTCACTTAATTGGAGCATTCCAGGTAAGATTTCTGCAATTCATTTGACATTGTTATGATATTTTCCAAGAAAAATTAGTTTTTTATCTGAACCAGTTTATCATTCATGACCATTATTTTTAGCAAAACCTTTGGAGGTAAGCCTTTCTGCATGAAAATAGGATATGGTTTCTAAAGCTATTAAATTTTTGCATCTCACAGATTCAACCTATTTCTCTGTATTTTTCCAGCTTCACATTTCATTGTGAATGCCAATCCATTAAACATTCATAGTTTTACTTTTTTAGGTGTATGGGCAGCCTATATATGCAAAATATGAAAATTACCTCTCAAAAAAATGGCCAGAGTCAGTCTTCTTCCACAAAGTGTACATGTTGGCACTCCCATTCTGCAAGCCTCGAGCTTTCCGCTTCACCTTATGCAAGTTGATCCTTCGCTCGGCCTTCGTCGTGCTCACAATATTGATAGCCATGATGCTCCCTTTCTTCAATGCAGTTGTGGGATTGCTTGGTGCAATTGCCTTCTGGCCCCTGACAGTTCATTTTCCTGTGTCAATGTATATGGCTCAGGCCAAGATCAGGAGGGGGCAATGGCAATGGGTGGTGCTTAGCTTCCTGAGTGCTATTGCCCTTCTTGTCTCTGTGCTTGCTGCTGCTGGCTCTGTTGTAGATATAATTCACAGGCTCAAACATGTTACAATGTTCAAGACAAAGCTGTAGGTTCTGGAGCTGATTATTTGATAAACAAATGGTTATGTACTAGTTTGATTTGATTGATATAAATGTTTGCTTGTTTGTCATTTCTTGCAAAGAATATATCTTGAATAACAGTAGGGGTGTCAATATTTGACCCGATCTAAAATCCCGACCCGAAAATTTAGGATTCGGGTCAAGGTTCGGGTTAGGGTTAGGGATTTCAACGCATTTGTAAAATCGGGTCGGATTCGGGTTGACCCGGAAACTTGAAATCAACCCGTTTTTACCCATTTTTAATTAATTTAGGAGGGTTCTAAAAGATTTTTATGAAAAAAATAAATAATATTTCTAAAAAATAATAAACATTGTTGCCCAAATTAAATTAAGTTTTATTTATTTTAAATTGATTGAAGTAAATCTTATCTTAATATGATTTAGATTTAAATAAATTTAATTAAATAAAAAAAATTAGTAAAATATACCCGGAGCGGGTTGGGTTTGGAAAACCGACCCGTTTGCAAAACGGCTAGGGTCGAACAGTATCGGGTCAATTTCGGATTGGACCCAAACCCGACCCGTGACCCAATTTTGACAGCCCTATATAAGATCTTAAAACTAATTCAACAAAAGGGCACTGAACTGCCAAAGCTCAAATTGCAATTATTGCATTGTTATAAATTTTGTAAATGCATGTGGGCTTTATTTTTATGGGCCTATTTGGTTTCTTCAAATATAAAAAAACTCATTTAATAAAATGATGAAGAAACTTAGTTGAAGAGCTTCAATACGGAAAAAAAAAATACATATTTTATAATGTAACTTTTAGGAAAAGCAAGAAATGTAAAATCCGAACAATGCAAGCCTAACGCTCTATAAATTTTAGAGGTTTTCTATTAGTTTTATCTTTCAACAATTTTATTGAGAGGAAAATGGATGATCATGCTAGTAAAGGGAAATATAACATGAAAAGAAAGTAAAAGAAGTAGTTGTAAATAAACATTAACAATAAAAGCAAGGGCGGATCCCAGTTCATCTGAGGGTGGGCAAATGCCCACCCTAAAAAAAAAAATTTAATGCATTAGAGGAATATTTTCTTAAGTTTGACCCCCCTCAAAAATAATTTTTGCCCTAATTTATTCAATCCCGTGACTCTCTGCCCATCCCGACTCCCGAAGTTTGAAAAGACGAATGGTTCGCTAATCGCGTCTGCCAACTCCAGCCTTCGTCTTCGCCCTTCCTCTTTACCTTCGGCTTCGCTCTTCGCAGGCAACCACAACCTTCTTCTTTGCCCGCGTCTTAGCCTTCATCTTCTTCTTCTCACTCTTCTCAGTGGTTTGAAGAGGTTGCTATTCTTGGCAGCCTTCGGTCGGATTAAAGCCTTCAAACTTTGCTTCAATTTGAAGGTAACATTTATCATATAAACTTTGGAAAATGGATGATCATGCTAGTAAAGGGAAATATAACATGAAAAGAAAGTAAAAGAAGTAGTTGTAAATAAACATTAACAATAAAAGCAAGGGCGGATCCCAGTTCATCTGAGGGTGGGCAAATGCCCACCCTAAAAAAAAAATTTAATGCATTAGAGGAATATTTTCTTAAGTTTGACCCCCCTCAAAAATAATTTTTGCCCTAATTTATTCAATCCCGTGACTCTCTGCCCATCCCGACTCCCGAAGTTTGAAAAGACGAATGGTTCGCTAATCGCGTCTGCCAACTCCAGCCTTCGTCTTCGCCCTTCCTCTTTACCTTCGGCTTCGCTCTTCGCAGGCAACCACAACCTTCTTCTTTGCCCGCGTCTTAGCCTTCATCTTCTTCTTCTCACTCTTCTCAGTGGTTTGAAGAGGTTGCTATTCTTGGCAGCCTTCGGTCGGATTAAAGCCTTCAAACTTTGCTTCAATTTGAAGGTAACATTTATCATATAAACTTTGGAAAATGGATGATCATGCTAGTAAAGGGAAATATAACATGAAAAGAAAGTAAAAGAAGTAGTTGTAAATAAACATTAACAATAAAAGCAAGGGCGGATCCCAGTTCATCTGAGGGTGGGCAAATGCCCACCCTAAAAAAAAAATTTAATGCATTAGAGGAATATTTTCTTAAGTTTGACCCCCCTCAAAAATAATTTTTGCCCTAATTTATTCAATCCCGTGACTCTCTGCCCATCCCGACTCCCGAAGTTTGAAAAGACGAATGGTTCGCTAATCGCGTCTGCCAACTCCAGCCTTCGTCTTCGCCCTTCCTCTTTACCTTCGGCTTCGCTCTTCGCAGGCAACCACAACCTTCTTCTTTGCCCGCGTCTTAGCCTTCATCTTCTTCTTCTCACTCTTCTCAGTGGTTTGAAGAGGTTGCTATTCTTGGCAGCCTTCGGTCGGATTAAAGCCTTCAAACTTTGCTTCAATTTGAAGGTAACATTTATCATATAAACTTTGGAAAATGGATGATCATGCTAGTAAAGGGAAATATAACATGAAAAGAAAGTAAAAGAAGTAGTTGTAAATAAACATTAACAATAAAAGCAAGGGCGGATCCCAGTTCATCTGAGGGTGGGCAAATGCCCACCCTAAAAAAAAAATTTAATGCATTAGAGGAATATTTTCTTAAGTTTGACCCCCCTCAAAAATAATTTTTGCCCTAATTTATTCAATCCCGTGACTCTCTGCCCATCCCGACTCCCGAAGTTTGAAAAGACGAATGGTTCGCTAATCGCGTCTGCCAACTCCAGCCTTCGTCTTCGCCCTTCCTCTTTACCTTCGGCTTCGCTCTTCGCAGGCAACCACAACCTTCTTCTTTGCCCGCGTCTTAGCCTTCATCTTCTTCTTCTCACTCTTCTCAGTGGTTTGAAGAGGTTGCTATTCTTGGCAGCCTTCGGTCGGATTAAAGCCTTCAAACTTTGCTTCAATTTGAAGGTAACATTTATCATATAAACTTTGGAAAATGGATGATCATGCTAGTAAAGGGAAATATAACATGAAAAGAAAGTAAAAGAAGTAGTTGTAAATAAACATTAACAATAAAAGCAAGGGCGGATCCCAGTTCATCTGAGGGTGGGCAAATGCCCACCCTAAAAAAAAAATTTAATGCATTAGAGGAATATTTTCTTAAGTTTGACCCCCCTCAAAAATAATTTTTGCCCTAATTTATTCAATCCCGTGACTCTCTGCCCATCCCGACTCCCGAAGTTTGAAAAGACGAATGGTTCGCTAATCGCGTCTGCCAACTCCAGCCTTCGTCTTCGCCCTTCCTCTTTACCTTCGGCTTCGCTCTTCGCAGGCAACCACAACCTTCTTCTTTGCCCGCGTCTTAGCCTTCATCTTCTTCTTCTCACTCTTCTCAGTGGTTTGAAGAGGTTGCTATTCTTGGCAGCCTTCGGTCGGATTAAAGCCTTCAAACTTTGCTTCAATTTGAAGGTAACATTTATCATATAAACTTTGGAAAATGGATGATCATGCTAGTAAAGGGAAATATAACATGAAAAGAAAGTAAAAGAAGTAGTTGTAAATAAACATTAACAATAAAAGCAAGGGCGGATCCCAGTTCATCTGAGGGTGGGCAAATGCCCACCCTAAAAAAAAAATTTAATGCATTAGAGGAATATTTTCTTAAGTTTGACCCCCCTCAAAAATAATTTTTGCCCTAATTTATTCAATCCCGTGACTCTCTGCCCATCCCGACTCCCGAAGTTTGAAAAGACGAATGGTTCGCTAATCGCGTCTGCCAACTCCAGCCTTCGTCTTCGCCCTTCCTCTTTACCTTCGGCTTCGCTCTTCGCAGGCAACCACAACCTTCTTCTTTGCCCGCGTCTTAGCCTTCATCTTCTTCTTCTCACTCTTCTCAGTGGTTTGAAGAGGTTGCTATTCTTGGCAGCCTTCGGTCGGATTAAAGCCTTCAAACTTTGCTTCAATTTGAAGGTAACATTTATCATATAAACTTTGGAAAATGGATGATCATGCTAGTAAAGGGAAATATAACATGAAAAGAAAGTAAAAGAAGTAGTTGTAAATAAACATTAACAATAAAAGCAAGGGCGGATCCCAGTTCATCTGAGGGTGGGCAAATGCCCACCCTAAAAAAAAAATTTAATGCATTAGAGGAATATTTTCTTAAGTTTGACCCCCCTCAAAAATAATTTTTGCCCTAATTTATTCAATCCCGTGACTCTCTGCCCATCCCGACTCCCGAAGTTTGAAAAGACGAATGGTTCGCTAATCGCGTCTGCCAACTCCAGCCTTCGTCTTCGCCCTTCCTCTTTACCTTCGGCTTCGCTCTTCGCAGGCAACCACAACCTTCTTCTTTGCCCGCGTCTTAGCCTTCATCTTCTTCTTCTCACTCTTCTCAGTGGTTTGAAGAGGTTGCTATTCTTGGCAGCCTTCGGTCGGATTAAAGCCTTCAAACTTTGCTTCAATTTGAAGGTAACATTTATCATATAAACTTTGGAAAATGGATGATCATGCTAGTAAAGGGAAATATAACATGAAAAGAAAGTAAAAGAAGTAGTTGTAAATAAACATTAACAATAAAAGCAAGGGCGGATCCCAGTTCATCTGAGGGTGGGCAAATGCCCACCCTAAAAAAAAAATTTAATGCATTAGAGGAATATTTTCTTAAGTTTGACCCCCCTCAAAAATAATTTTTGCCCTAATTTATTCAATCCCGTGACTCTCTGCCCATCCCGACTCCCGAAGTTTGAAAAGACGAATGGTTCGCTAATCGCGTCTGCCAACTCCAGCCTTCGTCTTCGCCCTTCCTCTTTACCTTCGGCTTCGCTCTTCGCAGGCAACCACAACCTTCTTCTTTGCCCGCGTCTTAGCCTTCATCTTCTTCTTCTCACTCTTCTCAGTGGTTTGAAGAGGTTGCTATTCTTGGCAGCCTTCGGTCGGATTAAAGCCTTCAAACTTTGCTTCAATTTGAAGGTAACATTTATCATATAAACTTTGGAAAATGGATGATCATGCTAGTAAAGGGAAATATAACATGAAAAGAAAGTAAAAGAAGTAGTTGTAAATAAACATTAACAATAAAAGCAAGGGCGGATCCCAGTTCATCTGAGGGTGGGCAAATGCCCACCCTAAAAAAAAAATTTAATGCATTAGAGGAATATTTTCTTAAGTT